TCTGCTTAGCTTTAGGTAACATACGGTCCTAATTGGTCTAGCTACTCTACACAAAGTTTTTTCTTGTGCAAGCATATGCTGCAACTCTAAAAATAAACAACATGTATTCAGTTAAGATCTATTTCTTCAATTTATACCTTCATATGATTTTATGACTTTTTGAAAATTTCCCTTTTTTTGGTATTTTTGATAAACTATATCTACATGATATATACCAGGGAAAAAACTTTTGCGTTTTGTTGTTGCAATGAAGGCCCCATGATAAAAATTGTGAGTAATATAGCTCTGCCAGACATTTTGATGGTGTCCAATTAATTCACATGAACAGTTTTACATTAATAAAATAATTGTTGCAGTTTTTTATGGTATATTTCTTGATCTATTGTTCTCCGATTATATCACATCAAAGCACATAACCTGCCGAAAGAGATTAACCTTTGCAACCAATTTAGTGCCATGCCAGTCTGCATGTCAACTGGTTGCTATTTTTTAGTACTTTGTTATTGAAATCACTTAAAACTAGAATAGACCCTTCCATATTCAAAGCAGGGCAAATCCATTTAACAAATTCAGCAGGATGAGGGTTAATAAAGACAACGCACTTACTTGAATGAGAATTGTTCTGGAAGTGGACCATTACAATAGTTTGATGTACAATCTTCAGAACCAATCTTAAACATCCCATCCTTGATGTCCCCTGTTATAATTCAAAAAAGAATTTTAATTCATGATTACCTGAGACTGTAAACATATTTGTTGAAGTACACACAAAACATGCTAAATAAATGCTAATATCCATTATAATATTTCAGTATACAAAGGGGCTTTTTTGGAAAAAGTAGAAACAAGAAACATGGCAATGCCATGAAACCAGGTTTTCAATTATCACCATTGTAGATAAATATGTTGTATTTGAAATACAAATAACAAAAGCAAACAAACAAATGTAAACTTGTGCAATTGTAAAACATGAATAATGTAGGAGGAATTGCCACAGAGGAAGTGTTCACTATAATTATATTCTGTATAAGGAAACTAGAAACTCCGCGAGTCGGATGTGTCGCCCTTGTGAAACTAATGCTAGTTTAGGGAGAAATGGCCAGGACAAAAATGAAATATGAAAAAATAACAAAGGGGCAATAACTAAAAAAATAATTAAGTGCAGAGCAGCAGTTTCTGGGTGCACTCACTTCTTATATCAATAAGATCTATCATTCTATGATGTTTCAAGTCCATAGCTTTCATACTTGAGGAGAAATGACAAGGACAAAAATTAAAGTATGAAAATAAACAAAGGGCCAGTAACTCAAAAAAAATAATAAATGCCCAGAGTACCTGTTTACTTGTGCAACTGCACTTTTCTTAATTTGAGACCTTATCTTCCATGAAGTTTCAAGTCCATGGGCTTTTATACATTAGGAGAAATGGCCCGGACAAAAAAATAAAGTATGAAAAATTAACAAGGGCAATAACTCAAAAAAATTAGGAAGTGCAGAGTACCTGTTCTTTGTTGCACTGCACTTCTTTCTTAAATGAGGATCTATCATCCTATGAAGTTTTCAAGTTCCATAAAGCTTTTTTAGTTTGAAGTGGGGAGAAATGGCCCGGACAAAATTAAAGGTATGATAAACAGGATTTTCAATGTTAATGTCACTGTTGACCTTGACCTTGGAGCCAGCCATGCGTCGGAACATGCGTTTCTGCACGCTTTCTTGATGTGGAAAAATTTGTCTGGAAGTTTCATCAAAATTCTTCAAAGGGTTGAAGAGTTACAGAGCGGACAGGATTTTCAATGTTAATGTCACTGTGACCTTGACCTTGGAGCCAGCCGATGGCGGAACATTGCGTTCTGCACGTTTTCATCTTGATGTGGTAAACATTTGTCTGAAGTTTCATCAAAATTTCTTCAAAGGGTTTTGAAGAGTTACAGAGCGGACACAAGTTTCGTTTGACGCCCGCCCGCCCAATTCCGCCCCAGCCGCCCATCCGCCCATCCGCCCAACCGCCCATCCGTCCGCCATACCCCAATCTAATAACCAGGATTTTCAAAATTGAAAACCTGGTTAAAAACCTAGAAACTTCGTAAAAGGACTAAGAAGCACTGGGAATGCTTGACAGCTTGCATTTTTCACTCATGACTGCGTCACTTGAAATTTTCAGAATAATAGTGACATTATACTAATCCAAGTGTAATGGTGAGTGTACAAGTAAAATCAAAAAATTTTTTAAAAATTTTTTTTTTTTTTTCAATTTTTTTTTTTTTTATTCACTGTATAACAATAAACCCCTTTGGGCTCATGAAAAAAAATTCTATGTCCTTCGAACTGTATCAGTGATGTTCAATATATGAATAGAATAGAGAACCATTCAAATATGCCCTGCTTCTAAACTAATCAAAATGATTCACTTTGGTATCGGCCCAATCTTTTAATATTGGCCCTATTTTCCTCATATCATCCCTGGTAATTTTATATTAGCCCTATGTTAAAATATTTTTAAAAATCCAAAAAAGGCATTAGTTTTATAATAAAACAAATAAATTAACTTATATTTGATACAATGCCCCCTTAGAAAGCTAAATTGGGAAAACATTGGTTTTGTTATCTAGGGGTCACTGGTTCCATCTTTGGGCGAGGCAAAATTTATGTGTGACAACTTGAACTTTGGAATTGTGTCAAATGGTCAATTTTTTGCTTTTATTGCTGATTCAACAATCATGTTGGATTAGTTGTCGGTCACTTGCTGAGTAATTGGTAATTACTGATCCAGGAAAACCAGTTTGGTAAACCAACTATCTAAATATTACCAAGACAATGAGTTGAAATCGGCATAAAAACCTGACAAACAAATTTCTTTAATTCATAATTACCAAAAACAAGAGGGCCAAGATGGCCCTAGATCGCTCATCTGACCAATCGAAGTCATCAGATCAATTAACTAGACAAGCATCCTGACCAAGTTTGATGACTATTGAGTCAAAAATGTGACAACCCGAGTGTTTACAAGGTTTTTCCATATTTGGAAGGTGTGACCTAGTTTTTGACCCCAGGTGAGCCATATTTAATCTTGACCTATAAAGCATCAAAACAAAGTTTCTGACCAATTTCAAGGATATTTTGATCAAAGCAATATCCACTAGAGTATTAACAAGATTTTTCTATTTCTAGCTCCTGTGACCTAGTTTTTCATCTGAAATGACGAATGTTCGAACTCATCCAAGCAATAGCCAAGACAAGCATCCTGGCAAAAGTTGATGATGATTGAGGCAAAAAATTTGTGACCCACTAGAGTGTTAACAAGGTTTTTCCCATATTTGGCAGTGTGACCTAGCTTTTGACCTAAGGTGACCAATAATCGAACTTGACCTAAAAATCATCAAAAACAAACTTTTCAGACCCATTTCCAGGATATTTGGAAGCCACTACAGTTGTTAACAAGATTTTTCTATTTTAAGCTCCTGGACCTAGTTTTTCTTCCGAGATGACCCATCGTTTGAACTAATTCCGAAGAGCAATTACCTAGACAAGGCATCTTGACCCCAAGGTTTATGACAATTGAGTAAAAAATTATACCACTAGAGTAATAACAAGGTTTTTTCATATTTGGGCAGTGTGACCTAGTTTTTGACCCAGGTGACCTATTAGAAGTCATCAAAACAAACTTTCAGACCAATTTCCATGATATTTGGATCAAAACAGTAGCCACTAGAGTGTTAAAAAGATTTTTCTATTTTTAGCTCCTGTGGCCTAGTTTAACATCCGAGATGACCCTTGTTAGAACTAATCCGAGCAATTACCTAGCCAAGCATCCTGACAAAGTTTAATGATGATTGAGGCAAAAATTTGACCACTAAAGTGTTAACGAATGTGGACGGACGACAGACATTCAACGATCCTAAAAACTCGCCCTGAGCAAACTCAGGTGAGCTAAAAAGTTACCTGTAGTAACTTCTACTCTGAATTCTTTTGTAAACTCATTATTCTTGGAATTGTGCCAATCATTGATGTTTTCAAGGTTAATGGGTGGAAAACCTGGAAAAAATGAAAACAAAAGCAATGTACAGTAATCTTTTAAGGTTCAAGCTTCACTTATATATATCACATACAATCAATTTGGAGTTTCACAATATTTCACAATGTAATGAAATTAAAGTTTCAATTTATGTTACACAAAATTACATTTGAGTCAAACAATATTTCAATTGAATTTGAAGTTGAACTAAATTTCAAGTGTCAATTTATGTCACCTAAGGTAAATTTTCAGCCATAGAATATTTATACATACTTGTACAATAAATTCTGAGATTCACAGAATGTGGACAAATCAATTTAAGGTCTACTACAGTGACACAGAATGTTGTTTTGAAATTCATAATAATTACATAACATACCAACCAAAATAAAGGGTCTGTAATGTCACATAATATTAACTTAAAGTTTCAGTATGTTGTGTACAATCAACTGTAAGTTTCAGTATGTCACTTACAATCAATGTCAAGTTTCAGTATGTCATATACAATCAATGTCAAGTTTCAGTATGTCACTTACAATCAATGTCAAGTTTCAGTATGTCATATACAATCAATGTCAAGTTTCAGAATGTCACTTATAATCAATATCCAGTTTCGGTATTTCACTTACAATCAATGTCAAGTGTCAGTGTGTCAAGTAAATCAATGTTGAGGTGTAAGTATGTCACTTATAATCAATGTAAAGTTTCGGTATGTCACATACATTGAATGTAAAGTATCAGTATGTCACATACATTGAATGTAAAGTATCAGTATGTCACATACATTGAATGTAAAGTATCAGTATGTCACATACATTGAATGTAAAGTATCAGTATGTCACATACATTGAATGTAAAGTATTCAGTATGTCACATACATTGAATGTAAAGTTTCGGTATGTCACATACATTGAATGTAAAGTATCAGTATGTCACATTACATTGAATGTAAAGTATCAGTATGTCACCATACATTGAAATGTAAAGTTTCGGTATGTCACATACATTGAATGTAAAAGTATCAGTATGTCACATACATTGAATGTAAAGTTTCGGTATGTCACATACATTGAATGTAAAGTATCAGTATGTCACATACATTGAATGTAAAGTATCAGTATGTCACATACATTGAATGTAAAGTATCAGTATGTCACATACATTGAATGTAAAGTATCAGTATGTCACATACATTGAATGTAAAGTATCAGTATGTCACATACATTGAATGTAAAGTATCAGTATGTCACATACATTGAATGTCAAGGTTTCAGTATGTCATGTACAATCAATATCAAGTTTCAGTATGTCACATACAATCATCTTTAAGTTTCAGTACTGCATAAAATCAATGTCAAGTTTCAGTATGTCACATACAATCAAATGTCAAGTTTCAGTGTGTCATGTACAATCAAATGTAAGTTTCAGTATGTCACATCCAATTGATTGTAAGGTTTACTATTATGTTAAAATATGTTAAATTCAGTATGTAAATTTTCAGTGTTACACTATATGTCACACACAATTTTGAGTGTCACTAAATGTCACATCTAATGCATTTTGAGGGTCACTACATTTGCATGTTAATAGTATTATAATTTTTGAGTTTCACTATCTGTTACAGGCAATAATTATTTCATTAAACTATATTTACCATCAAAATATTTGCTTTCCCTAGGTAAAACAATAAATCCTATTTCTTGCAATCTTCCTTGCTCAGTTTTGCTAAAGAACGCATTTGGTAACTGAATGGTAACAGAAGATGTTGAGGAACTTTGCATCATTACTGCATCCAAGTCTGAGTCAGACCAGTCTGGGGGTGCTGAAATAAAAGTTTTCATTAATGTATCTTCCTTAAGGCAATAATAATGTATAGGTTTATCACAATATACCACATATACATTTGCCACTCTTCTTTATAGCATGTTCAGTAGAAACTCTGCAGAGCAACCTCCTTCAAGAGGGAAATATTTTGGTTGTTGCTGACAGGTGATGCCTTAGAGAGGTATAGTTAAATCTTACTTTGGGAGAACATTATATTGGTATTGTAGACAGGTTATTTCTAGAGCATCATCAATGGAAACAATATAAATTTTTGGTCAATACAGATTCAAAACTAGAAATGTGTCCATAGGACACGGATGCCCCCACACGCCACTGATCTGTCAATCTTATGACTCTAGGTCAAATATTTTTTGGACTACATGTGCCACAAGTTGAAAACTAAAAATCAACAAAGGGCCATAATTCTCTTAAATTTGGTTGCAGCAAAAATTCCTTCCTTTACTACCATCTACACATTAAGGTTGTTAATCCCTGGAAGTTTAAGCAAAATCTGCCATCAGGTTTAAGAGGAGTTGCGTTCACAAAATTTCTACATAGTATATAATGAAACTAGAAATGTGTCCATAGGACACGGATGCCCCCACACGCCACTGTTCTGTCAATCTTATGACTCTAGGTCAAATATTTTTTGGACTACTGTTATGTGCCACAAGTTGAAAACTAAAAATCAACAAAGGGCCATAATTCTGTTAAATTTGGTCGCAGCAAAAATTCCTTCCTTTACTACCATCTACACATTAAGGTTGTTAATCCCTGGAAGTTTAAGCAAAATCTGCCATCCGGTTTAAGAGGAGTTGCGTTCACAAAATTTCTACATAGTATATAATGAAAAAATCAACAAAGGGCCATAATTCTGTTAAATTTGGTTGCAGCAAAAATTCCTTCCTTTACTGCCATCTACACATTAAGGTTGTTCATCCATGGAAGTTTAAGCAAAATCTGCCATCCGGTTTAAGAGGAGTTGCATTCACAAAATTTCTACATAGTATATAGTGAAAAAATCAACAAAGGGCCATAATACTGTAAAATTTGGTCGCAGTGAAAATTCCTTCCTTTACTACCATCTACACCTTAAGGTTGTTCATCCCTGTAAGTTTAAGCAAAATCTGCCATCCGGTTTAAGAGGAGTTGTGTTCACAAAATTTCTACATAGTATATAGTGAAAAAATCAACAAAGGGCCATAATTCTCTTAAATTTGGTTGCATCAAAAATTCCTTCCTTTACTACCATCTACACATTAAGGTTGTTAATCCCTGTAAGTTTAAGCAAAATCTGCCATCCGGTTTAAGAGGAGTTGCGTTCACAAAATTTCTACATAGTATCTAGTGAAAAAATCAACAAAGGGCCATAATTCTGTTAAATTTGATCGCAGCGAAAATTCCTTCCTTTACTACCATCTACACATTAAGGTTGTTCATCCCTGTAAGTTTAAGCAAAATCTGCCATCCGGTTTAAGAGGAGTTGCGTTCACAAGATTTCGGGACGTACGGACGGACGGACGGACTGACGGACGGACGGACAAGTGCAACGCTATATGCTCCCACATTGTGGGGGCATAAAAATTACAACAAAGGGCCATAATTCTGTTAAATTTGGTTGCAGCGAAAATTCCTTCCTTTACTGCCATCTACACATTAAGGTTGTTCATCCCTGGAAGTTTAAGCAAAATCTGCCATCCGGTTTAAGAGGAGTTGCATTCACAAAATTTCTACATAGTATATAGTGAAAAAATCAACAAAGGGCCATAATTCTGTAAAACTTGGTCGCAGTGAAAATTCCTTCCTTTACTACCATCTACACCTTAAGGTTGTTCATCCCTGTAAGTTTAAGCAAAATCTGTCATCCGGTTTAAGAGGAGTTGCGTTCACAAAATTTCTACATAGTATCTAGTGAAAAAATCAACAAAGGGCCATAATTCTGTTAAATTTGGTCGCAGCAAAAATTCCTTCCTTTACTACCATCTAGACATTAAGGTTGTTCATCCCTGTAAGTTTAAGCAAAATCTGCCATCCGGTTTAAGAGGAGTTGCATTCACAAAATTTCTACATAGTATATAGTGAAAAAATCAACAAAGGGCCATAATTCTGTTAAATTTGGTCGCAGCGAAAATTCCTTCCTTTACTACCATCTACACATTAAGGTTGTTCATCCCTGTAAGTTTAAGCAAAATCTGCCATCCGGTTTAAGAGGAGTTGCGTTCACAAGATTTCGGGACGTACGGACGGACGGACTGACGGACGGACTGACGGACGGACGGACGGACAAGTGCAACGCTATATGCTCCCACATTGTGGGGGCATAACAAACAATAATTTAAATTAATATAATTATAAAATGTCTAGAAAAATTCCTGGATAACACATTCAATGTTTACCCTATTGAGCTAAGTGGACAGATAACATTTAAAAAACAAGAATGTGTTTGTTAAACACAAATGCCCCCGGCTCAGATTTTTGTCAGTAACAATATTTTAAAAAAATCTATTTTTGGCATTGGTGACCTTGACCCAAATGACCCCTTACTAAAGGAATAGGAAGAGGACCTCCCTTGGTATGACTATTATAAACATGAAAGACATTAACTTAAAAATATAGGCTATATGAGCAGAAATGTTTAGATTTATTTTTTTAAACAAGTGACCTTGACCTAGAGACGCCTAACGCCACAAAAAATTAGAGGACCGTTAAAGGTATCCACCTACCAAATATGAAAGATATCATTAAATAAATTAAGTAATTAGGTGAAATTTTTTGATAAATCCATCTTGGCGGAAAAGGTTAATCATACAAAGCCCTATTTTCAAAGTGATAAAAAGGGAAATTAGTGGGAAAATGGATAGCACATTTATATAACTTGGCAATATCATGTACATTGTAGTAAGTGTGAAAATTATTAAGCCATTAGTTCAGATAGAACATAAAATATTTCCAACTTGCCGGTTTAGGTTAACCATTATTCATTTTCTAAGTGCTGAAAAGGGCCATAACTTGGTGCAAATGGAAGCCATAGTTATGTAACTTGCCCAGATCATATACTTTGTATGGATTAGTAAGTGTGTAAATTATGAAGCCATTGGTACAGGTAGAACTTAAGAAAAATCCAACTTGCCGTTCTAGGTTAACCTCGTACGGACAGACGGACAGAGGGTTCAATTACTATATGCCCGGGGGCATAAAAAGTCAGAAATTTGCTTAACTTATTCAGTTGGAAATGTACATGAATATGAAAAATAGGAAGCCAGAACTTATACATACCACAGACATCCGTTCTTATGATCAAAGTATATTGTTGCCCTAAATGATCATTACTGCTTATTGCATAAATCTGAAATAAAGGGAAGACAACTTTTTCATATACTTTTTTTCCATTAAAGTGGGTAAAAATTAATATTTCCTTGCTATTTTTCTTTGTTACTTTATAAAATGCTGAAATACATCTTATAGCTTAACCCTTTCCCTCATGAGCATACTGTGAAAAATGGCCGTTTTCATTGAAAAGCCTCCTGTTACAAGTTCAAACTATTATGTAACTATGAAAAATGCTTCAATACTAATCAAACTTGGCACAAATGTAGACTGGACCATTGCCTTTATGCTCAGTCATTACTTTCCTGTTACCATGGCAATGAGGAGACATCTCAAAATTGCCAAAAATCACTATTTTGCGTTAAATTTTTCCATCAAAATTGATTTCAAAGTGCTGCAACTTCTCAATGGATTGAGATAGAGTCAAAGGCTTTTCAGCATTGGTTACACATTACCTTATGATCCACCTGGGGTCATTTTTAGCCTCTCACAAGTCCAAAATTTTCTTGGCGATGAGAGGGACTGCCACCCCCCCTTCAAACCCCCCCTGATGTACCTTTTTGATAGGGGGCTGCGCCAAAAAGTGATCACTTTTTAGCAACATTTCCCAAAAGAAAAATAGTGTTTGGGGCCTAAATAGGATAATTTTTCACTGTTTGAGGCCTTAAAAAGGGGGGGGGGGGGCGAAAAGCTGTCAATTTTATGCAATACCAACCCAGGTATTCATACAAGCTTGCTGTACACCAAGTTTGATTGGAATATATATATGAAGTAAAGGTTAAATCATTTTTAGATATAAACAGTTTCATTATACACAGTATATTATCAAAAAGAATTAAAAAGAAATACCGCTTGAGATAAATCAACATGTTACTTTAAGGCTTATATCATACAACTGCTATAAAGGTCATAGGGAGACTCTCCATTTTAACTGGTGGAGCAACACCTTAGGTGTCCAAATTTCAGACACAAGCAGGTACCTGAGTTCAACTAGTGACTTTCCATTCAGTAAGCTAGATTGACAGTTTCTTTACATATTTCTAAAAATCAAGCCTCTAGTTGGGTTTGATCCCACTTTGTTAGTTTACAAATTTGTTTTAGTTTATGATGGAAGCTATAAGCTTATCAAAACACTCTCTGTATCTGTTTCTGAAAACAACCAATACTAAGCAATGACAACTAGAGCTATCACTGAAGGTGATTAATACCCCCACAAGCAACCATTACGTTTGAAAAATTAGTGGTGTGAACAATAGTTTGAAGTTGAACTATAATTTATGAAGATTAAAATGAGTACAAAGAATTGCAACATCAACCAGGTCTTCAAGAAAGCTTGTTTTATCTCATTCCTAGCTCAATTTTCGTCCGGAAACCATTTTTCTATTTTTAGTAACGGTGACCTAGTCGTTGACCCCAGGGGGTCCATATGCAATACCAACCCAGGTATTCATACAAGCTTGCTGTACACAAAGTTTGATTGGAATATCTCATTCCTAGCTCAAGTTATCGTCCGGAAACCATTTTTCTATTTTTAGTAACGGTGACCTAGTCTTTGACCCCAGGGGGTCCATATGCAATACCAACCCAGGTATTCATACAAGCTTGCTGTACACCAAGTTTGATTGGAATATCTCATTCCTAGCTCAAGTTATCGTCCGGAAACCATTTTTCTATTTTTAGTAACGGTGACCTAGTCTTTGACCCCAGGGGGTCCATATGCAATACCAACCCAGGTATTCTTACGAGCTTGCTGTACACCAAGTTTGATTGGAATATCTCATTCCTAGCTCAAGTTATCGTCCGGAAACCATTTTTCTATTTTTAGTAACGGTGACCTAGTCTTTGACCCAGGGGGTCCATATGCAATACCAACCCAGGTATTCATACAAGCTTGCTGTACACCAAGTTTGATTGGAATATCTCATTCCTAGCTCAAGTTATCGTCTGGAAACCATTTTTCTATTTTTAGTAACAGTGACCTAGTCTTTGACCCCAGGGGGTCCATATGCAATACCAACCCAGGTATTCATACAAGCTTGCTGTACACCAAGTTTGATTGGAACATCTCATTCCTAGCTCAAGTTATCGTCCGGAAACCATTTATCTATTTTTAGTAACGGTGACCTAGTCTTTGACCCCAGGGGGTCCATATGCAATACCAACCCAGGTATTCATACAAGCTTGCTGTACACCAAGTTTGATTGGAATATCTCATTCCTAGCTCAAGTTATCGTCCGGAAACCATTTTTCTATTTTTAGAACGGTGACCTAGTCGTTGACCCCAGGGGGTCCATATGCAATACCAACCCAGGTATTCATACAAGCTTGCTGTACACCAAGTTTGATTGGAATATCTCATTCCTAGCTCAAGTTATCGTCCGGAAACCATTTTTCTATTTTTAGTAACGGTGACCTAGTCTTTGACCCCAGGGGGTCCATATGCAATACCAACCCAGGTATTCATACAAACTTGCTGTACACCAAGTTTGATTGGAATATCTCAATTCTAGCTCAAGTTATCGTCTGGAAACCATGAAGGTGGACCGACCGACCGACCAACCGACCGACAAGCTGACTCCTATATACCCCCCCTAAACTTCGTTTGTGGGGGTATAATAAAGTTTTTTGCTCATGGAAACAACAGCTTGCCCTAGATGGGGTTTGAGCCCATACAGCCAGCAATGTAAAGAATACCAGTCAGACATTTTAAAGCCATAACTCCACAGAGGTCCAAAAACTTAAAAACACAAAAAATTGTATTTTTTACATAGATCAGCTGGGGTACTTAACAAAGAAAGATATGCAAAAGATAAGTAAGAAATATACTCTGAAATAAACAGAAGATCAAAATCAAGTCTGAAGTTCCTAGGCCCAAGCCTTCTTAAGTTATTGATTGGAAATGGTTTGGTCTACTGATAGACGACCAACTGATAGACTGACCAACAACATGTGCAAAGCAATATACATCCACTTCTTTGAAGGGGGGTGTAATAAGTACATGTAACTTTAAGCTAGATACCTACCGTTGTGTTATATGTTGACTCAGATTTTAACTCTGTTATCTCTTTTTCAAACTTTCTATTATCCGTACTATATGGATCTGGATCAGGAACTGTAAATTCTGTTGATTGTAAATTCATTGTCGTAATATCAAAGCTATATTTAACAATTTTCGAATTTCTGTCATAAAGAGCCGGCTCCACCCATATAACTTTGACCTTTCTGGCATCACAGTCGGAAGGAGAGTTGAACAACTCAAAACGTGCATTAGTTATCCTGCCAGGCTCTGAAATTTAGAGTGAGATCTATTTAAGTGAACTCTCTGAAATATATTATAAACGATATTAGATGTACAAATGCTGCAGTAACTCCAGTCTCACATGAATATGTGAGTATGAACTCAACATTAAACTTACTTAAATTTACTTACTTTCTCAAACAAATCAATGATAGTTCAACAATAGTTAGAGACAATGCTACATAAACTTGTTAATGTACAAATAAATGATAAAGACACATATCCCCACAGAAATGTGACTAAAATGTGACACAATGATAGTCATGTATATGTGATATATATGTAATTTATGTGACATTTATGTAACTTAAAATGACATTTATGTAACTTAAAATGACATTTACGTAACTTCTATATGTTTTTCTCTGTAGTTTTTGTTTCATTTTTATTCTGTTTTTTAAATTTGATTAAAGTTTAAAAAACATTTCAACATTGAATATCTATTAATTATTTTCCTTTATTAGCTACTGTTGAGAAAACGGAGTTCATGTCAATACCACATGCTGAATGTAAAGTAAACTTCGAGCTTAAAATCCTTAAGAGGACATCTCGGAAAATTTAACAACATTGTGTAACTTGACACGAAAATGACACTCTTAAATAATTCTTTTAAATCCTGACTTATTGAGTCACATGTTTTTTGTTTTTTTTACAACATATCATGTTTATAAAACATGCTTTTACTAGGAAGTCTTGCCTAATCATGCTAAAATTGTTAAAAACATAATTATGTGCTCATAAATATTTTCTTTCACACAATTTATAAATCACTGTCATCTTAATCATTATACAGCTGTTTTGATATGTCTAACAGACTTGCCTTGATTTGACACTTGAACTAACGGGATTTTAAGATCAGAAATAAATTAAGTGGCCAGTAAATGTTTAGGCTGGCCCAGATACACATTTGTTTGCAAGAAAAGTTGTTATTGCAGATAGCATTCATCATTATTTTACATCTGCGTAACAAACCCATGTTGACTTGAACCTGTAACTTACCTGCCTCCAACGTGGTGATGTTGTCAGACTCTGTTTGGCTACTGGTTGTATTCAGTGCTGACACAAGAACATTAAAACTGTATCTCCAGTATTCTTCCAGCCCAGTCACTATACAATAAGTTATGTTAATTCCTGTAACAAATTTTAAAACAAGTTAACTTGAATAGTAAGTAAGTAAGTAAGTAACTAACAACTTTATTTAATAAGGCTAACACATTCGGTTTCCTGATCTTTCATATGGGCCTCAGAAACCATATGAATATATGTATTATTTTGGGATGGGTTTTATATCACAATGTCACTGTAAAGGTCATATGACGATTTTCCAGCTTTACTGGAGCGGGAAAACCTTTGGTCACTCTCTGTGCATTTTTCAGGTACAATTGGGAACCCAAATTGAACCACAGACCTTACGTAACTTAGCTGAATAGCTTCCCTGCATAAAAAGATCGAATGTCCCTTGTGAGATTTGAACTGTCAGTAATGACGGTCAAGTGATTTGAAGTACCTGATCACAGAGGCCTGAGAGGACATTGTATTCTAATTAATAGTACTGTATTATTTAAAAAAAAACATATTCTTCAAACCCACAGAAGTAAAACACTGCATGAACAAAGTAAACATAAACCTAATATATCAAGAATTTTCCTGCATGGTAGTAGAGACACTTGTAGAAAGATTTTTAAAGTAACATAGGCATGGAAGGTATAAAGTTAGTGGAACAGTCCTGTTTGTTTGTTTTGTTAGGTTTTAAATCACACCAGCAATTTAATGGTCGTCTGGCAACTTTCTAGCTTTACTGGTGCATTATTTCAGACAAGCAGGCACATCTGCTCATGTAAAGAGACATGCCTCTCATGTACTATGGATTGTTGTACCAAACAAAGAGTATTGGATACCATGGAGGATGCTCACCAATTTTGCTTTGATATAACCAAAGCAAAAACCAAGCTTTGCAAATCATGATCAGGTAGCATGATGACCTTGATCTCCACAAGTCACGTGGGTAGAATAAATTGCCATTAACAGGCTATGGGTTAAAAACTGAATTACTCCATGCAGTTACAAACCTTCGACTAGACATGACTGGCTAGAGGCAGTGGAGTCCACTAAGTTGTTTGTAGTCACTTCATACAGGGATGTGGGTGGATTTTCCTTGGACACTATCCAGGATACATTTACTGCTGTTTCATTCAATACCATAACTGTCACATTAGTCACAGGATCTGGTGCTATAATATAAATACATAATTATATTGATATTAAATAAATTCGTACTTTTTAAAATATTCTAAACTGATTAGTTTTAAACATCTGAAATGACCAAAATATAATCAAACAAAAAGAAATTATGTGGGCGAAAATCATTTCTGTCACTGTAACCTTTCTTGCTATTTACACACACAATTCAAAATTAAGTGTTGCAATATTCCCCAAAAAAATGATTAGATATATACTTGAATTTGTACATATTAATGCTGATCATGTAGAAATGTGTACTAAGAAATATGTACATATATTTAAAATATGGATCTTTCCAGACCAACAAATGACTTGATAATCCACTTTAATTCAAAGAACAAAAGGGAAGGTAACTTTAGTCTAGACACCTGCACCCATATCAGTTCTCTCCCTTTTATGATATATAAAAATGAAAATAACAAGATACATTTCTGCAGAGGTAAATTCCTACCATGACAAGAATTTAGCACAGGCCTATGCATATATCTAAGCAAGAAATACTCCTAAAAATGATTTCAAAATATTTCACAGAAAGCATCACCTATATTGAAATAAAATTAAACAGTACTGTAAAGAGTGACTTTAATTTTTTTTTAATCAATATGCTCTTGTGTTTAGTTCATAAGCTTTAATCATAATTTCTTTCAGTTCTATTACACATATTGTTTACAATTTAAGATGTTTCATACATACCGCTATAAAGAGTAGAGAACGTGTCAGTCCTTATACCACTTGGCTTGCCATAACTGTTTGCTATGATTGTGATGTAATAATCAGTTATCGGAGGGAGAGCTGGTACATGTACGGTGGTGTCAGTAGAAGTGTCGTTAAACACACTTTTCCCACTTTCATTTTTAAACACTTGCACATAGTAATAATCTACACGTCCCTCTGATCTGTCCCATATCAAAGTGACATCAGTATAAGTCAAATTTGAAGCTGCTTTGTTTAACTGCCCTGGTTTACTGGGATCTGTACAACAAATAATTAAGCATAAATTACAAACAATAAAATATCATTCTCAGTATTTATATGTCATGGTATTGAACTGTTCACTATATATAAGGGGCCGGTGGAGCCAGATTACAGTATTCTGAATGTCCCGGGTTAGTCCCAGTGAGACTGCACATTTTTCTCACTCTGTGACGTATATACATCCATGAGCCTGTAATGAATCAGGTCACACTATATATCTGAAAAATTTAGCTCACATTCTTACAAATGAATAATTTTTAACCTCCAACACCACCCCACCCTACCCCCCACCCCAGTGTTTGCATTGTCAAAGTGTGAGTTGCTTATATCATTAAATATCTGTGATATAAGCATGAAAATTCATTACAGATTGATTATATAATTATTACACTTTAATTACAATTTAAGACTAAATACACCTTTTGCTACATTTCTGGACATTTGTTTCAACTTCCAACTACAGAGATCAAGCTACAATTTTTTTTTCATCTAGATTACATATATATACTTACATAATGATTCATTTTTGGAACCAGTTCTGGAATGTGTATCATTAAAAGTCACTGTTATCTCAACCTCATACATATAGCCAGGTGTAAGCTGACTACACAAATAATTCCGGTCAACTTGTTGCTGGCAGTTGACATGAAATGGGTTTGCATTAGCATCAGTTATACTTGCTGTGACATTATATTCCAGTGTAAGATTTTTCACACTGACATCATGTGTCCATGACACCTGCAGGCTTGTAGATTTGATATTTGAGATTACAATACTGACTGGATCCAAAGAACTTTCTGAAAATAATAAAGATATACATGTATCTGAGTACCAATTTACTGCAAACAAAACTTTTCATCGTAAAAGCCAAATAAATGCAGCTTTTGCTGACTTTACCCTTATTTGACACACAGGTATTTGCTATTTGTCATTTTTACTCCCAACCCTGGGCACAAAAGGTATTGTACATTAAAACTGATAAGTTATTCAGGCTACAATTTTATCTTCTTTTTTCTAAAATTTTCTTTCATTTTTCTTTAATTTAAGTTCTCTTCTTTTGGTTTTAAGTTCTTGTCAATGTCAAATGGCAAACAAAGGTCCCAAACACCTCTCTATGAGAAGTTTCTGGCATTTGGTAGAACTATATGTACATTTACCAACCTTCTAGAACCTTACTGAATAACTTCTCACATAGATAAATAAATAACTAGAGCTATCACTAAATGTGATTTATACATTTAGACTGCTTCGGAAATGAGGAAGTTCCAAGTAACATAATACCTTGTAAAAGAATTGAAATAGAGTTATGGTTGTGGGCAATTAAAGATAGTTGTGGTTTTTGTATGTTGCATTTCCTTACAATATGGTTGACCATTGATGAAGTTTTATTGAATTACTCTGTAATAAATCCAGAAAGAATTACACTTCTTGAGCACTGCACTTCCCCTCATTGCGCTTGACCATTGTATGAAGTTGCATTGAATTCTAAACATTAGTTTTAAGTTATGCACCAGACAAGGAAAATGAACAAAGGGCAATAACTCTACAAATACTGAAGATGGAGTTATGGTTATTGTACTTTCTCTCATTTGGCTTGACCATTGTATGAAGTTGTAAGTTATGCCCTGGACAAAAAAGTAACAAAGGGCAATAACTGTAATGAGTCTAAATAGAGTTATGCTTCTTCTGCACTGCAGTTCATCTCACTGCCCTTGACCACTGTATGAAGTTTCAATGAATTCCAAACATTAATTTTCAAGTTAAGCACTGGACATTAAAAAGTAACAAAGGGCAATAACTCTGTAATTACTTAAGATGGAGTTATGGGTCTTGTACACTGCACTTCCTCTCAATGTCCTTGACCATTGAATGAAGTTATATTGAATTCCAACCATTAGTCTTCAAGTTATGGTCCAGACAAAAGAAAGAAATGGAAAAGTAACAAAGGGCAAGAACTCTGAAATTAATTTAGATAGAGTTATGATTCTTGTGCACTGCACTTCCCCTTATTGTGCTTGACCATTGTATGAAGTTGTTTTGAATTCCAACCAGTAGTTTTCAAGTTATGCTCCGGACAAGGAAAAGTAACAAGAGGCAATAACTCTGTAATTAGAGAAGATAAAGTTAGGGTTCTTGTGCACTGCAATTCCTCTCAATGTGCTTGACCATTGTATGAAGTTATATTGAATTCCAACCATTAGTCTTCAAGTTATGGTCCAGACAAAAGAAAGAAATGGAAAAGTTAAAAAAGGGCAACAACTATGAAATTATTTTAGATAGAGTTATAATTCTTGTGCACTGCACTTTCCCTTATTGTGCTTGACCATTGTATGAAGTTGTTTTGAATTCCAACCAGCAGTTTTCAAGTTATGCTCCGGACAAGGAAAAGTAACAAAGGGCAATAACTCTGTAATAAGTGAAGATAGAGTTATGGTTCTTGTGCACTGCACTTCCTCTCAATGTGCTTGACCATTGTATGTAGTTATATTGAATTCCAACCATTAGTCTTCAAGTTATGCTCCGGACAAGGAAAATGCAACAGACGTCTGGACAAGACAGACCGACCGACCACCGGGTGACTCCTATATACCCCCCCAAAACTTCGTTTTTGGGGGTATAATGATAATGGCAGGATTCAAGCTCACAGAAATTTAGAGCAAATAAATCAAAAGGCAGTGACAAAAACCTCTTAGCAACATTGGCCGTTCCTTCAACATTTTTACCTGTTTAATAAGGATTTTACTAAAACAATTCTAGAATTAAGTAGCCCACAGAATAGGGACGAGTCAGAAGACAACACTGGCCCTATGCTGGTGGTAGACACAAATTATCATTTCTTATATCATTCAGGGAATTTATGATATTTAATAATAAATAAAAATAATGCCTGTAATGCTGTTTAAAACAAGAGGGCCATGATGGCCCAAAGTCGCTCACCTGTATATAGGCCCCTGGAGCGGGGCCAGTTTTTAACCCCAGGGCTTTTATTTGAACAAACTTGGTTGTATATGTATGCATGTATATATATATATATATATATATATAATATATATATATAATATATATATATATATATATATATAGATATATAGATATATAGATATATGTATATATGTATATATATATATATACATATATATATATACATATACATACATACATATATATATATATCATATAAATATATATGTATATATATATGTATATATATATATATATATATATATATATATATATATATATATATATATATATATATATTTATATATAAATATTAAATGTATATGTGTATAATATATAATATGTATATATCTTAAAAAAAAAAAGTCAAGCTAATGAATGACCCCCGGGGCGGGGCCAATTTTGACCCCAGGGCTTTTATTTGAACAAACTTGGTAGACACCCATGAGAACATGTTTCATGCTAAATATCTTAGCTCTAGCTCTTTGAGTTCTTTAAAAGAAGACTTTTAAGTTTTTACTATATGCATATAGGGAAAATCAATGACCCCCGGGGGCGGGGCCAATTTTGACCCTAGGGCTTTTATTTGAACAAACTTTGTAGACACTCATTAGAAGATGTTTCATGCTAAATATCTTAGCTCTAGCTCTTTGGGTTCTTTAAAAGAAGATTTTTTAAGTTTTAACTATATGCATAAAGGGAAAATCAAAGACACCCTGGGGCGGGGCCAATTTTGACCCTAGGGCTTTTATTTGAACAAACTTTGTAGACACTCACTAGAAGATGTTTCATGCTTAATAGCTAAACTCCAGCTATTTGGGTTTTTTTAAAGAAGATTTTTTAAGTTTTTGCTATACACATATAAGGAAAATCAATGACCCCCGGGCGGGGCCAATTTTGACCCTAGGGCTTTTATTTGAACAAACTTGGTAGACACCTATTAGAACATGTTTCATGCTAAATATCTTAGCTCTAGCTCTTTGAGTTCTTTAAAAGAAGATTTTTTAAGTTTTTACTATATGCATATAGGGAAAATCAATGACCCCCTGGGGCGGGGCCAATTTTGACCCTAGGGCTTTGATTTGAACAAACTTGGTAGGCACTCATTAGAAGATGTTTCATGCCAAATATCTAAGCTCTAGCTCTTACGGTTTTTTAGAAGAAGATTTTTTAAGTTTTTCTTATTGGTTGCCATGGCAACCAGAGTTTTTAATGGAATTTAAATTTTTGAACAACTTTGAAAGGGGTCCACCTAAGGATCATTTCTGTAAAGTTTGGTTGCAATTGGCCATGTAGTTTAGGAGGAGATGTTGTTTGAAAAGTTTGACGCCATTTTTTGAAGGACGCACGACGCACGACGCACGCAGAGTGATGACAAAAGCTCACCTTTGAGCACTTCGTGCTCAGGTGAGCTAAAAAAACATACAAAAAACCATGACAAACAGCACATAGGCTACATTATTGGCAGTATTGAATGGAAGAAAACAAACAATGCTGACAATGAGACATTTACTTTACAAAGAAACAGGAAGTTTAATATAATGTAGGTATTTATAAATTCATGATTTGATATTCTTTACTTGTTCCTTGACATACTGTTTCAAAAAAAATTAAGATTAAATTTTCAATGTAAAATAAAGTAGATTCTATTGTACATGTATATACATGTCAAACTGAATAAGTAACTTTCATGGTTTATTATTTATAATGGGCTGAGACATAAAAAGATGTTAAAAAGAAATGAAATATTAGTTTAATAAATATGTATCAATATATATTAATTTTCAATGGACAAACTTGAATATCAAAACATGCAGCTTTAAACATTTATACAATATTTAATAATTACCTTGTATGCAAGTGGACTGATCTGATTGAAAATGACCTGCTTGACACTGACATGTACCATTTAAACATACGGCAGCTCCGTTTATATTGTTGTTACTACAGTCTGTTGGCTTGCCAGTACAGTTACCACCGAGTGACGGTGTCTCTGTTGTGGTGGTTGTTTCAGTGACAGATGTTGTCAAAGATGCAGCAGTTGTAGGTATAGCAGTTGTAGAAATAGTAGAAGAAGCTAATGATGTAGATGAATTTGGTGATTTAGGAGTTGATTTTGTAGTAGAACTTGATGTTGAATTTGCAGCCTGCTGTGTGGTTTGTGCTGATGTTGATCCTGCTGTTGTTGCTGTTGCTGCTGCTGCTGTTGTTGTTGTTATTGTTGTTGTTGATGGTGTAGATGCTGGTGCTGGTGTGGTAGATGGAGCAACTGTTGAATTTGACACCTGTGATGTTGCTGTTGATTGGTTTGTAGAAGAAGTAACTTGTGTAGAAGCAATAGTTGAAGCACTTACAGTTGCAGTTTGTACCTAAAATAGAAGAAAAAATTACTAAACGACAAAGTCATTTGTCAAATTAACTATCACTTATGATGTTGTTAAACTATTTACCATTCACCTTGTTTAACACAGCACAATACAAAGTGAAAGCGACATTGCCAAGTGGTTAATGCATCAGACAAGTAATTTAAGAATGGCTACCTGTGTGGGTTCAAACTCTGTCAGGGGCAAGCCATTGTTTCCTTCACAACAAACTTTACACTTTAATATTGCTCTGTACTGGTTGGTTCTAGGAGCAGATTCAAGAGTGTGTCTATAAGCTTTATAGCTTCCTACACAAGGACTAAAATAAATTCTGTATATACTTAAGTAAAAGTTTCATAATCATATGTATCTATTTTGCCAATTTGTTATTAACTGCAACAAAACTGTAACTAAATATACCTTAAACAGGGAGATATAACAGTGTTGTGTAAACCTCCTTAAATTGTTATTGACCTCCTTAATATAGGCAGATAGGTATCATGATCTACCATAATTGAGTACATCCTTGTACAGTGAATCTGTCATGTACCAGTAAATACACTGGTTATTCCCATGATGTTTCAGTAAGAATAAATTACCGATAAGTAAACATTTACTTTATTGTTTAAACTTTAAACAATATAGATTAATATCAAAATGCACAAAGGAAAAGCTGGGGATGTTTCATCCTAGATGAGGTTTACTGTACTAGTGGTACTCAAAACAGGAAAAAGCTACTATATGAAGTTTTAGAGGAGACCCTTAGTCTAATTCAAAGACATCATGGTCATCAGAAGCTATAGCAAAATTATATCTTTAAAACTTTGTGCTCAGGGGAGCTAAGAATCACCAGGATACATTGAACATTACCAAATGGCATTATAGACAAAATAAGATTGTTTTTCTCTTTTCTGAATGTAACCATAGCAACCATAATGAATGTTACCAACATAAAGACAGCCCCTTACAGTTTGTCAACATACTATCCTTTTGGTGCCTGTCTCGGTGACATATTTAAGGAATTTAGTATTGAAATCTTTTTTAAGGTGTAATTGCATGGGACTTCTATAACAATGAAAACTACATTATATAGTTTATCTAATCTTTGCATGATCAAAAAAACAATTTAAGTAAAACAAATGGAGGCCACCATTTTTATTTTTGAGTTATCTGCCCTTAAATTTGAAAATTTTGCTTATTAAAAAAGGGCAGATAATTTACAATCACGATTAGAAATGCCTTTTTTCTGCATTTCATGTAGCTGACTATTATTGGGGTGATTGTGAAAAATTTAAAGAATTGGTATTAAAATATAAGTATAGCTTCTAAATTACTTAAAGGGAAGACACTGGCAAAATTTTCATTTTTTCTTCCAGTCCTTGAAATGAATAACTAAGCAGTCACATAATCGAACAAAACTTTTCCCCTTATAAAGAAGAAAATGGTGGTTTCCTAACTTGACCTAAGTGGGTCAGTTTAGAGCATTAAGAATTCACTATAGTTGTTATAGAGAACTATGAAACCGTTATAAAGTACCTGTCAAATGAATGACTATAAGACTTATTTCAATCTAACAATTTCCACAATGACTGTTATTGTAATTTCCAGAGTTATTTCTAGTTACATGACTTGTTTTAATACTAATCAGTGACTCTGTCAGTGTCTTAATTTCATTCAACATATAAAAAGATATTTATTAATATACACTTCAAGCTCAAAATATATAGTATTTATACAGAAATTCATACTAGGACTTTTAAAAATCTAATTTTAGCAAGATTTGAGTAAATAAGATCAATTTAGTATTTTTGTCATTCATTTGCCTAAGTATCCCTTTTAAAGCTATGCCATTTTTTCTAAAAACAAAATGGCTTATTTTTAAAGAATTTTCAGTCTAAGTAAGAAGGTTAAGATTTTTTACCCTGGAAACAAACCCTTATACTATCATGATAGATACTAAGTATGAAAGTACTTCTAGAAAAGTGACTGATCAAAAAGGATACTATTTCAAGTTAATTTCCTATTGATTAGTGACTAGTGCCCACTTAAAGACGCACCTATTTTATTGTATTCAAATTAAGTATATTAAGATCCTATCTTAAAGTGGAGAAACATTTGGTTCCTCTTTGTCAAATACAAAAATGTATATTGAATAAAAAAAAAAATCTGAAAGATCTATATAAATAATAAATTGATTTTAATCTCAATTTTCAAAAGAATCATCTACATGTACCTCATTGTAACTATATAATAACAAGAATGTCAAACGACACATATACCCCCTTTCTAGCCCTTGACTCACATAATTGGTAATTTTGTTACAGAAACTTGCCACAAATGGGTACATGGAAGTGTTCAATTATGGAAAAAAGAAAAATAATGAAGACTTTGTGATGAATAGTTTTCAAGATGAGATATTTAAAGCCCCTGTGACCTAGAACTTTGAACTAGTGACCCAAAATCAATAGGGGTCATCTAATAGGTATTACCAATCAATACTACAAATATGAAAACTTTGTGATAAATAGTTTTCAAGATAATAAGCGGAAACCAAACTGACATTTAAGAACCTTTGACTTGCTCACCCCAAAATCAATAGGTTCACTTACTTGTGATAAAAAATCTTCAAGATAATATGCGGAAACCATTCTGACACTTAAGGCCCCTGTGACCTTGTCCTTTGATCTAGTGACCCCAAAAGCAATACGGATCATCTGTTGGTTATGGCCAATCACTTTGTGAAATATGAAGACTTTGTGATTATTATCTTTCAAGATAATGAGCTGAAACCATTCTACCATCCAAAGACCCTGTGACCTTGACCTTTGACCTAGTGACCCCAAAATCAATAGGGGTCATCTACTAGTTATGACCAATCAATATGTGAAATATGTAGATTTTGTGATAAATAGTAACCAAGATAATAAGCAGAAATCATATTACTATTTAAGGATTCTGTGACCTTGACGTTTAACCTAATGACCCCAATATCAATAGGGGTCATCTACCACTTACGATCAATCAATGTGTGAAATATGAAGACTTTGTGATGAGTAGTTTTCAAGATAATCAGAGGAAACCTTCTGACATTTAAGACCCCTGTGACCTTGACCTTTGACCTAGTGACCCCAAAATCAATAGGGGTCAGCTATTAGTTATGGCCAATAGCTATGTGAAATATAAAGACTTTGTAATGAGTACTCTTCAAGATAATCAGCGGAAACCATTTTGACTTTTAAGGCCCCTGTGACCTTTCACGTAGTGAACCAAAAAGCAATTGGGGTCATCTACTAGTTATGACCAATCACTATGTGTAATATGAATACTTTGTAATGAATACTTTTCAAAATAATCAGCGGAAACCGTTCTGACATTTAAGACCCCTGTGACCTTGACCTTTGACCTAGTGACCCCAAAATCAATAGGGGTCAGCTATTAGTTATGGCCAATAACTATGTGAAATATAAAGACTTTATAATGAGTACTCTTCAAGATAATCAGCGGAAACCATTTTGACATTTAAGGCCCCTGTGACCTTGATCTTTCACCTAGTGAACCCAAAAGCAATTGGGGTCATCTACTAGTTATGACCAATCACTATGTGTAAACTGTAATATGAATACTTTGTAATGAATACTTTTCAAGATAATCAGCGGAAACCATTTTCACATTTAAGGCCCCTGTGACCTTGACCTTTGACCTAGTGACCCCAAAATCAAACTGGATTACCTACTAGTTATGACCTATCAATATGTGAAATATGACTTCTTAGTGATGAATACTTTTCAAGATAATCAGCGAAACCATTTTGACATTTAAAGCCCGTGTGACCTTGACCTTTGATCTAGTGACCCCAAAGTCAATAGGGGTCATCTATTAGTTATGGCCAATCACTAGGTGAAATATGAAGACTTTGTAATGAATATTTTCAAGATAATCAGCGGAAACCATTTTGACATTTAAGGCCGCTGTAACCCTGACCTTTGATCTAGTGACCCCAAAATCAATAGGAGTCATTTACTAGTTATGACCAATCACTATGTGAAATATTAAGACTTTGTGGTGAATACTTTTAAAGATAATCAGCGGAAACCATTTTGACATTTAAGGCCCATGTGACCTTGACCCTTGACCTCATGACCCCTAAATCAATAGGGGTCATCTACTAGTTATGACCAATAACTATGTGAAATATGAAGACTTTGTGATGAATACTTTTCAAGATAATCAGCAGAAACCCTTTTGACATTAAAGGCCCCTGTGACCTTGACCTTTGATCTAGTGACCCCAAAATCAATACGGGTCATCTACTAGTTATGACCAATCACTATGTGAAATATGAAGACTTTGTGATGAATACTTTTCAAGATAATCAGCGGAAACCATTTTGACATTTAATGCCCCTGTGACCTTGACCTTTGACCTAGTGACCCCAAAATCAATAATGGTCATCTACTAGTTATGACCAATCGCTATGTGAAATAGGAAGACTTTGTGATAAATACTTTTCAAGATAATCAGCGGAAACCATGTGGTCTACCGATGGACAGACCGACATTAGCAAAACAATATACCCCCTCTTCTTCGAAGGGGGGCATAACAACATATAAATTTGACAAATGCCTCGATTATATCTTGGTCTGCTGGAAGAAATAGAGTCTACCCATGCAACCAGTGCAAATCAAGATCAGTCAGGGCACAGATCATAGCCTGTATTACTGGCTACCAGTATTAGTCTATGAAATATTCCATGAAAATGATGAATGGTTTTGTCCAGATTGAAGACATTTAAAAAGATGGATGAGTCCATTTAAGATTTTTAGGGTAGTAAGGGTGAAACTACATAAATTTAGCACTCTTTTTGATATTTAAAAGTATTTCCATAACTCAATTTGATAACAAAAATGGTGGCATGATTTTGTTGTTTACATACATGTATAAGAGAAATAGAAAAGAGAAATTAGTGTATTTAAACTGACACCACCCTTGGTATATAAATCATTCGTATTTGTTCAAAGACTTGTTTATTTGCACAATTTTATGGTAGGTTAAATAAATTTTTGAAATTACACCTTCTCTTTACAAACCTTATTTTCGTGTGTAAATTGCTATTTTAAGCATTTTTTTTCTTAATTTTAGCAAATTCAGCATTGGCATGCAATATACACAAAGGAGAAAATTATTTTTACTTTATTTGAGCAAATTTAACATACATGTAGGTATTTATAGACAAAAGAGAAATTTACCAGAGTAAGACTGCAACAAAACGCTATATAGACAAGAAGCCTGTCTGAGGTACCCATCTCTCACTAACCTGAAAATAATCAAAATTACCCTGATAATATATGCAGATATTTCCATAAATTTTACATACATGTAAATCAGTCCTATAGTACACAGTCTTAACAGACACCACCCTTGGCATATAAATCAACAATATTTTCAAAGAAAGTACATGTAATTAAATAAAATAAATCATTTGCTGTTTGTATGGAATCATGATGGGCCTCAGCTTTTTTCAGTGAGGATTCATAAAGTTATCCAGCTAGCTTGCCAAGTCAATGGTTCTAAACTCATGGTCAACTCCTTCCTGAAATACATGTAATGCATGGGCACCTGCAGTCTTGAAACTTCGATTAAGGTGGAAATTCAAGATATTACCATTATTTAAAGTATTAAACTATCAATATGACAAACTGTTGGGTTTGGGTTTTACACCCATTTTAAAACATTTTTAGTCATATCTTGGCAGGAAACAATCGTCTGCTATACTTATCTTAATATAGGGACTGGACCAGTACATTAGAGGTACTGAGGGGTTTCCTTATTGTTTATGTATCGTCCCAAGATTTATTTTTCCACATTACCTTTTTTTATTTGACAATCATATGAAATGATTTATCTAAAAGTAACATATTTAATCGTTAGAAAAGCTGCAAGCGGCTTTAATATTTAATCATTTGTTCATTTCAAAACCTTGCAGCTCAATTACATTCAGACTGGTGAATTTATGTGTACATATATCACCGTGTATATTGTGCAAAAATCAAAAGATTAAAAACAAGGAAGTATTTACAAAAGCATTCATATACATGTACCTGCACCAATAAAATACTTAATAAGATTTTAAACTTTGTACTTTAGATATAAACATATTTTATTATCAAAAGCAAATCAGTTAATATGCATAAACAAGTCTAGCAAAAGGGACCACAATAACGAAAACATGCGATAGGAAATTTAAAGCAGCATGCCTCCAGATTCATGCTTATTTGCATGAAGAAAAAGAAAATGTATTTAAAAGTAAAATATTGTGTAGTGAAAACAAAGAAAGTAATTAACACATTGCAAATGAATTCTGGTATAAAATACTGCAATATCAGTCATTAATCACACATAACATGTAAATTATAACTTGAATCTGGAATCTTTTCACTTTTCATAAAATCTTATAACATTAATTTTTCTCATGTTTGATTTTCGTGAAATATTTTGACTCAGCTGAAGGCATGCAGCTTTAATATAAATATAGATACATAAAAAAAGAGGCCATGATATGATATTTCTGCTAAAGAATAACATGTACCAAAGTCATATAACACTGACAATATGCACAAGTGTACTCGATGACAATCTAAGTTCTGTGACAGTTTGGCTATCCTTTAAGACATAATTATAAGAAGAGTTGCACACACAGAAAAAAGTTTATGACCAGCGTCCCTACTGTTATAAACCCTTAACTTGCTGGAACCAAGTGCTAAGCCTTTGACACCAGTGCAGTCTGACAAGGCTCTATTCCACTGGTAGTTCAATTTTTACAATTTTGATACTGAAATCCCTTCAGCTTTTAGTAGACTTATCTTAATTCAAAGCAAGGCATATCCAGTATACATATGAGCAGACTAGTGCCTAATGATATGAATTATCTTAGAAGGTAACATCAATTATCATTTGCTCCGTCTGTGACTCAGCCTTTTCTGCCCAAAATTCAGCAGCTCAGACTTTTATGCACCCATTCAGCAGCTCATAACTTTAACATTGCTGCAACGATTCAGCAGCACAAACTTTGCTGCACCCATCAAATACAGCAGCTCAGACTTTGCAGCATCCATTCAGATTCTCAGACTTTGCTGCACTCATTTAGCAGCCCACACTTTGCTGAACCCATTCAGCAGCTCAGACTTTAATGCACCCATTCAGCAGCTCAAACTTTACTGCATCCATTCAGCAGCTAAGACTTTGCTGCCCCAATTCAACAGCTCAGACTTCAATGCACCCATTCAGCAGCTCATACTTTGCTGCACCCATTCAGCAGCTCATACTTTGCTGCATCCATTCAGCAGCTCACGCTTTGCTAAACCCATTTACCTCAAAGTTTGTTGAACCAATTCAGCAGTTCACACTTTGCTGAACCCATTCTATACAGCCAGACCTGGGGTAATCATTAATTGTAATCATTGATTTTGTAATTGATTACATGATTACACTGTAATCATCATGTAATTGATTACCTTGCCCAAAATTGATTATATTAATTGTAATCAATCAATTACAGCCTAAATCAAGACAGTAATTATGATTACATTTTGATTGACATTGATTACTTTCAGATTTAACAGAAAACTATTTAAATTCAAAGGATGCCTTTATTTTACATGATACAGTTTAATTTTTGTTTTACATTTATACTGTCAAAATCCTCAATTAAGACCACTATTCAGACTGAAACAAAGTAAATAGTCTAATCTTACATACTTTAAGACCATGGTCTACTTTAGTCATTTTGTATGAATAAACAATATGTATATTAACATGTACCTACAAATACATTATAAAAGACACTATCAAAAAATGCTTTGATATTTAATCTGATAAAAAGAAAACATATTTCTGAAGAAATTTAACTTTAATTTTACAGTATCACTTATTATATGATGTACATAAATCAAATAAAAATTTAATTTTTCAAAAAATAAATGTGCTGAATGCAACAATGTACCACTCTAAAATGGACCTTCTCACCTAATTTCATACAATAACAGTTTTTCACACCTTTTGAAATCACAGCCCTCAAGCAGATCATAGCAACAAATTTAAGATCTTGATAGATGTTGACTTAATTTAAGTGTTTCATTAGTCACATTAAAATTGAAACAAAAATTTGGACTGAATATGGTGGTCTTAGAAGTGAATAAGCAGGTGGTTAAATCTGGATCATGAAACCATTGGCATAACAAACCTTTTTAAAAATGGTCCTAAATGCGGGGGTGGTTTTTAATTCTGGGGTGGTCTAATGTACATTCAATGTAATCAATTATCAATCAATTACTCTCTTAAAGTAATTGTAATTCAATTGATTACAGAGGCAAGTGTGAGTAATCAATCTTAATCAATTACTATAAAATCTGAAAGTAATTGTAATTTAATCAATTACTGATCAATGTAATCATCCCCAGGTCTGTATACAGCTGCTCAGCCTTGCTGCACCCATTGAGCAGCTCACACTTTGCTGAACCAATCCCATTCAGCTGCCTTGCTGCACCCATTGAGCAGCTCACACTTTGCTGAACCAATCCCATTCAGCTGCCTTGCTGCACCCATTGAGCAGCTAACACTTTGCTTTACCCATCCATCTGCTAAGCTTTGCTGCACCCATTCAGCAGGCCACACTTTGCTGAACCCATTCAGCAGCTTACTCTTTGCTGAACCTCATTTAGCAGCTCAGACTTTTCTGCACCCATTCAGCTGCTCATACTATGCTGCATCCATTCAGCGGCTTAAACTTTGCTGAACCCATTTAGCAGCTCAGACTTTGCTGCACCCATTCAGCAGCACACACTTGCTGAACCCAGTGAACCCATTCAGCAGCACACACTTGCTGAACCCAGTGAACCCATTCAGCAGCATACACTTGCTGAACCCATTCAGCAGCTCAACATTTGCTGCATCCATTCAGCAGCTCAGACTGTGCAGCATCCATTCAGCAGCACACACTAACTTGCTGAACCCATTCAGCAGCTCAATGTTTTAAGAAAAGAATCTAAAAAACATTTATAAATAGATATCTATTTAGAATACATAGAGAGGAGTGATCTTTTTTCTTGAAAGTTGAAACATTTTTTTTCTTCAGTTCTACCTGGTTTTACCTGCTGTATAATTATCTTAGTTGGATTTGCATATTTTACAACATGCAAAAAACAAACAAATAAAACAACATTTAGATCTATAGGAAATAGATTGTACACTGTAAATATTCCTACATGTATCGTGAACAAACCAGTTCTCAAACCTATAAGCTACAAGAAGTTTTCAGTATAAATAAGAATATATCTTTATGAAAATTCTTTACATACATACACTTTAATCTTTATGTAACATTTCTGTAAAATTTGACTGAAATTCAACGTTAAAAAAAGCTCTATTTTCATCTTGGAAAATACAACCTTCTTTTGTGAAACTGACATGGCCTCTTAAAAGAAAGAACCTAATCTCAAACCCCTTCAAGTATCTCTAAAATTCTACTGTTTAGTTTAGCCAATGAAGTGATTGTCATATGAATATCACATGACCATGTGGTACCCTACAGGATGCAAGTACCTGCTTTAAGATATTTTTGTCTGTAATATTCATTTTTACAAATAGTAATGGTGTATTTACAGGACTTACAAAGGTAATAGCAATTTGTATGAAATTATTCTAAGTAATAAGATATTTAATGTAAATATTCCTTACTATGCACTGTTTTAATTTAACAGCAGCAGACATGTCTGTCAGAATCTAAGCTTTAATGCACACAAGTTGAGGCCATTGTAGTCACTTCTAGTAAATAAATAACAGCTCATAAATGAAAGGTTTGAGAATAGGTTGGGTGTGTACTTACACGAGGTAGACAGACATTTCACTATTGAGAAGGTTCACACCAAGACGGTTCACACCAAGACGTTTCACTCCCAAATGGGAGTAAAACGTCTTGAAGACATTTCACTCCCATTTTATACCAAAATTATTTTGATACTTATGATATACTACAATAGACCTTAATGTTACTAGAAATGAAAGTTTGTATGTTTAAGTTTGTTTTTTTACTTGATTAGAGAGATCTTTGATCTGATATCTTTTCATATATTTATTCTTATTTAGGGAAGGATATCATAATATGACCGGATATGATTGTATGAAAGTTGCAGTTCTCTTAAGATGTCAATGATAATAATTCATACCTGATTTTCTTTGCATTAAGTATATTTTATATCAATAGGTAAAAGAAATTTCTGTAGATAATCTTTAATAATATATTTAAATATTATTTTATTTTTGTTATAATTTACAACCAAAACTAAAAATATGGAGGAGTTTCTGTTTCCATGACTTTGATTTTAATTGGATGAACATTGTCTAAAAATATTTTAATGGTCCAATAAACAACTAATTAATAACTGTTGATGCTAAAGTGCAATGTTTGTACAACTAATTTAAAAGTGATGTCAAACTGTTAATTGATGGTTTCAGTGTTTATACAACTAATTAGGTGATGAGATTACTGTTAACACCACAATTACCTAAGTTTGAGTGTTCATGAACATTTTCATTTTGTTATTCTATTATCTTTCTTGATTTATTATAAATACCGTAGATTTTTCTCATGTTGTTACTCTTATAAATATAATAAAAACGATATTTCAGACATTTGTCTTTCATTTAAAACTCTTATCATTCAACCCATATTTAAATGAGTATAATGATAATCTTCTCATAATTCATCATAATTATGTCCTGATCATTGAAACCAACATTTTTACTCCTAATAATTAACAAGAAATCTTCAAAACACTGTTTAAACGGAACAAAATTCACTTTTATGACCTGATACTATACTATATAGATCATAATTATTTACACATTCTGTAAGTGTTATATTTCAGAAAAATTATACTTTTATAATCATTCTTCAAATTCATAAATTTTTCTTAACAATACTCTCAAACTCAACAAAACAAATCATTAAATTGAATTTCCCCTTCATTATAAAGGCCTAAAAAAAAAAATGTTGTGTTTCCGGTGGCCCGACCAACCCTATTTTTTAGCGCCGACCCAAAGTTTTTTATCGATGTACAAAAAAAAAAATGGCGCCCGTACCGACCGTACCGAAGACGGGTTTTAGTATTGCGAGTCGACAACGATGTGAGGCACAGACGATTCAGGTTCCAATTACGTATTAACGCGCACCGGCTAATATGGCGGCACAACAAGCAGCCGAAGTGTCACTGCTGGCGATTTTCTTTAAAAATACGATCATAGTTTGGCAAAACAGGAAATCAAATTAATAGACCACAGCAAAACAGCTCAAAACATTTTTCAGACGTGCATGGTCATGTTAAGAGTGATAATATTAAAATTGAAGCCAGTTGTTCGGTAAGAATAAAAAAAAATGAAAACGAAAGTCGAGTCATGCCATTGGTAAAATTTATTTCAAAATAAAATATTGAAGACTAGGTCCGACCTACCGACTCTACTTTTTTTCGCCTTTCCACCAGAAACACATCAATTTTTTTTTAGGCCTAATGAAAATAAATTTTCTAAATAAAAACATCTAAAAAATGGGAGTGAAACATCCATACAAATGACAAAATGGGAGTGAAACGTCTAGGTGTGAACCGTCTTGGGAGTGAAACGTCTCAATAGTGAAATGTCTTGGGAGTAAAACGTCTGACATAAGTTATCCAGGATAGAATGTTTACTGTTTGGTGGATATGACATCCCCCCCATACTAATATTATAGAAGTATATTCAAAATTGTCTAATATCATGGATTTACTTACTTTTTATTTTAAATTTTAGGGTTATAACAGGGAATTTAATTTAAGGGCACTGGGAGGGTGTCATATCCACCAGGGGTAGTCAGACTATTCTCTCCCTTTCCAGTTCCTCCCCTGACGTTTCCTCCCTGACAGTTCTCTCCCTATTTTGGGGGAGAACCGTCTGCATATTTGTAAATAAGCAGACAGTTCCTCCCCATTCTTATTTTTGTTATTACATTATTATCAAAGCTTTTTGATGATAAATCAATGGGTAAGTTTATTAATATTATTAATTGATATAAATTAGAAAAAAAGATTTTATTGAAGTGTTTAGATGTTAAATAAATAAATGGGTAAGTTTATTATAAATTGATATAAATCAGAGAGAAAAATACTTTAATGTCAGAGTATTAAGACGTTTAATTCAAGTTTCAATTTTGTTAGCATCATCAGCAACAATAAATGGGTAAGTTAGGATAATCGTAAGATATTATTAAAACTGTTATTTTTTTTTTTAATAAATAAATGTGAAATTTATAAGCAAAAAATGATTAATGAATTTTAATTGCTAAATTTCATACTTTTGTATAATGAAAAAGGAGTTCAATACACACATGCGTTAAGTTTGCTGTCAGTGATAATTGAGGTGTTTATTAATTCATTACTCAAGAATCAAGGTGTTGATTAGATTAAAATAGCTGTGAAAATGTGTTGATGTTTAAGTATTTACAAGCTAGACCTTAACATAATTACAGGTGCCCAATCACTGTCCAATAATCTATATCTCTCACAATGAACGTGTTGATAGGATTAAAATACTGAAAAAGGTGTTAAATTTACAAACACTTTTCAGCTGATAAACATAAAATGCAGTTAATATCTAACACATTCTTTTAATAATCTTCATGAAGAAATATTATTAGATTAAGTCAAAACTAAAATGATAACTTATACTTATAGAAAAAATGGGGGAGAACTGTCTGCATATTTCAAATTTGGGAGAGAACTGTCAGGGGAGGAAACGGTTAGGGAGAGAACCGTCAGGGAGAGGAACTGGTAAGGGAGAGAATAGTCTGTCATTCTCCACCAGGCACCAAACAGTAAACATGCTTCCCTGTCATATATACTCAGTGCAAATAAACGCCCTCATGCATACAAGCATCCCTGCTTGTTAATTCACCTCAAATAAATATTAATCCACCCGTTACCACAAATTTGACACTGTTATCTTGTTACGTTCACAAAGTTTATTCTTCTTCCGTATTTCCTATGTCAAGACAACTTTCACTTCACTTCCTACTAAAGCAATCGCAACTTTTTGGTCCCTTCCGTCAATCTTCGGATATGGATAACGAGCGAAGTGTTCCGGATTGCAAACAGGACGTTTCGCCCCCAAACCTAATCGGCCTCAATGCAAAAATCAGCAAGAATGGGATCATATAACCATGGCAAATTAGTAAAAATGGACTTAATAAAAGGCACTATTTTAAGAAACTCTTATTTTTTAATCTGTTAGAAGGATTCTCATTTGTATGCAAGCTATTTTACGAATCATACAGCCGGGTCCTTGAAAGACCCTGATCTATATATTTTTAAGTGGGTTTAAAGTCATTTTCAAGCTATGCTAAATTTCTTTTGATGATCTATATAGGATAAGAAGTAATATAATAATACCCCACCCGAATGTGAAATTTTACTTTTCGATTGTATCGTACATAAAGCGCCCATTACGCTCAATGCGCTAGATGCAATGCGCGGGTAAATCGCATTTGCGCACGTACATTTAAAATTCCACGACTAAATCAGCATCTTTTTTTAGACTCAATGCTTGCTTTTTTTGAAATGTTAACTACAAGTTAAAAATATACAGTATTTGAATAACTAATGCAAAATTTACCAGTCACACACTTTGCATTTAAAGACAGCTACAATTAACATGAATATTCATCTTTAAAAATATAGGAAGACATAATTATATAAATTCTTGCAGGTAAACGAAATTATCAGCATAATGATGTCATTAGGTTATAATACTCATTGTGCATGTATATTTGTTTGCATATAAAAGTTTCAGTTTTATGCATGATATTTAATACTTAACTTCTCTCTTCCCCTCGGTACTTAAACGTCTCTCTTCCCCCCCCCCCCCCGGTACTTAAACGTTGTGGAGATGGCACAATGCATCGGCAGTAAGATCTTGTGAGGCTTTAAAAGAAAACGGAACTTGTTTCATGTGGACCAGCTGCCAATATCCTGACTTAATGCATAGGGAATGGCCCTACAGAATAGGTAGAAACGGCGAGAAAGGGTTCTACGATGCGAGCTAACATCCCATTTTCATATTGTCTCGGGTACTGTACTTTAAGGTTCTTATCGGCCGCCGTGCAGTGACTTACTTTTGGCTCAAAATTCATATCTTTGGCTAATACTCCATGAAATTTCTCGTTTTTTGGCTTAAAATTCACATCTTCGACTAATACTCCATGAATTTCATGGAGGTAAATTATCACCACTTTGTGCTTCAATATTAACCATTTAAGGACATGACTGTTGACTTGTCCGAGGTCCATACAGATAAGATACAAATCGGAATACAAATGTCCAAGTCCTGTACAGCGTGACTTTAAGTACTGCAGAACCTGTGTTGTAGCTTGGGTTGTAGTAGTGCGCATGGTTTCATTTGCCGCAGAAAATTTATCACGGAATCCTTATCCAAGGGGCAGGACGTGAAGTGGTTGCACACTTGGTTCAAGCGAGCGAATTGGTTGCAAACTTGACAAAATGGCGAAAACAGCTAATTTTTTGAAACGGATGAACGAATTTTTGCCAGGCAAGTGGGTTTCTTTGTTATTTTGAAGTTCAAGAGTATGTCTATTCCATAATGCAATATATATGCCACACTCGGTTAAAGGTTTCAGCATCCTAGATTCTGTTTTGACGAAGTTATTGAAGATATAAACTGATCATGTAGATATTTTGAAATTTGACATATGACTGTTCTGGCCGGTTTTTCTCCTAATTTATTCAAATTTGGAAGTTTTGAACTGCATTTAACAATAACAAAATATGTTTCTGTCAATGCTGTACAAACGGTTTAGTTCGCAAGTCCGAAGATAACGTTCAATACACAAAAATATCTTGTTCAAGCACATTTTGGTTGCAGACTTATACTTCAAGCATTTTTGGTTGCAAACTTATTCTTATTCTATTGAAATCCATAGTAAAACTTTGCAAAAGGAGTGTAGAAGGTTATATCTATTAACCTATTTTCAATGGCAATTATTGACATTTATGTTCTGTTACTTCTTTTTGTTATAAATGTTATTTATACTTTCTTCTTTTACAACAATTATGCACTTTATGTTTCAAATTACATGGTTCTCAGTTCAATACTATAATCATCAGTAAAAGCCTGCAAACAAAATAATAGCATATAGAAAAATATTTATTGATACTTCAATTATCATATGTAAAATGCAAATAAAAACTACATACAAAACAAACGTATACATGTGAGAGTACTGTTGTATTTAAGTGAATAATTTTCATCATAAACATAAGGACATGTGCACACATACGATGTTATTCGGCAAAATTTCCAAAGTTTATCAAAACCACAAGAAATTTTAATTTGTTTGTTTCGTATGTAAAGATCAGCAGTTGCTTTAGACATGTACTTAAAATGTTTTTACAAACCAAAAGTTAAAATGACGTACATGCTTGTTTACAATATTTCGGATTTGATGTACATCATATGTCCAGTGGTATTCTAAAGATGATTTTGATTATTAGATCATAATATAAATGATATACGATTGGTTATTTACATTAACTGTTATGTGACAAAACTACTTAAAGTCATTGTTCGAGTTAGGGAATTTGGAAAAAATTTCGATTGGTCAATAATAAGGAACAATTTAAAGAAACATGTGAATAATGCCCTTGTGTCAATGTTAATATAGTTTTTATTTACTATATAATCAAATTTATTTCAAATCTCAAAAAAGAACAATAATGAAAGCTGTGTGTTGCTATTTTTTTCTTCTTTTCCTTTACAGTTAGTCATGCCAAGATATAAAAAAGTTATAAGACTTTGTAAAAAGAAAAGGAGTATATCGAGGAGAAAAAATGATGAAGATAACACACAACTGAATTTTAATTTAGCATACATTGTATTGTGTTATATATCTATTTGAAAGACCCTGTGTTAGGATATATCTGCACGCATGCACAATTTGTATATATATTTCTTATTAGATGAACCGGTATAATTGCCATAATATTGCTAATTATTTAAAAAAAAAATGATAAGTTATTCCTCGCTAAAAATATGCATGCCACATTATTGACACAAAAGTTTGCAACCAAAAATGCTTGAAGTATAAGTCTGCAACCAAAATGTGCTTGAACAAGATATTTTTGTGTATTGAACGTTATCTTCGGACTTGCGAACTAAACCGTTTGTACAGCATTGACAGAAACATATTTTGTTATTGTTAAATGCAGTTTAAAACTTCCAAATTTGAATAAATTAGGAGAAAAACCGGCCAGAACAGTCATATGTCAAATTTCAAAAAATCTACATGATCAGTTTATATCTTCAATAACTTCGTCAAAACAGAATCTAGGATGCTGAAACCTTTGACCGAGTGTGGCATATATATTGCATTATGGAATAGACATACTAATGAACTTCAAAATAACAAAGAAACCCACTTGCCTGGCAAAAACTCGTTTACCCGTTTCAAAAAATCACGCCATTTTCGCCATTTTGTCAAGTTTGCAACCAATTCGCTCGCTTGAACCAAGTGTGCAACCACTTCACGTCCTGCCCCTTGCTTATCGTTAACAGACTCCTTTGCAAGACACCTATAGTTTATCTGAATGTCCTGCCGAATATTCTGTCAGCACGGGATTCAGTAAAATTTCAATGTGATAGTACACGTAATATTTGTATAAAAATAAGCTTCGATTGGAATTTAGTATTTGTTTATATTCTTCAAGTTTACAGGTGTGGGGTGAATGGAATGCAATGAAAGACAAAGGTTTATATACAAGTACATGTATTTTGAAATTTAAGAATAGAAGGGTCAATAAACATAACAAATAAAAAAAACGGATATGTGTCAATAACTTGCAATTTACCTGCATGTACTTTGCTGTCTAATGATATCAATACACGAATTTAATAATATGAAACGCCATTATTAGTAATTCTAATCAAAAATAAATAAAATACATGTATTCTAAATAGTCATGTGATGTAACAGAATTAGTTATATGAGATATGATTAATAATGATGATTGTTTACTTAAAGATGGATTATACTTGATTTACTTTGTGTCTCTCAAATATTTTGTAAATTGAAGACAAAATAGATGTAGGCCTGCAGCTGCCTGGCTTTTCTTTATCATCACTTTTGAATATGGGGAGACTGTTATAGCTTCTCTGAGAGAGTTGGTAAATAAGCCAGTATCAATAAAGAAAGCAATACATATACTGATGTGATCACCAGAAAAAAAGTAAAATATTTTAACCAATACCGTCCAAACTAGTGTTTTCAATAAAATAGGTTTACCAATGCTGCCAATGGATAGGCTCAATCAAACTGAGTCAATTTCAATTTTGCCATTCTGGTCGGTCTTGAAGTGTGTTTTTACTCTCTCCATTTAATCGAATATTTAAAGCATTTAAAAATTATTTAAGAATGTTGAACAACGACAATTAACACGTGCATGTTCTACTAATCTACAGATTGCTGGTCGCGTGGGATAGAAAAAAAAATAAAATCAATACCGAAACATTTTTGATACGTAACATTCAATTAAAAAGGAAGTAAAACGAAATACTACACTTTGCAAAAGGTCGCGAAAAAATGGTTACGTCATATCAGCCAACTAAGAATATACAACGATCCGAACATCCGGATGTATCCGGATGTCTGATTCGAATATCCGGCGTCAATGGTAAGCCGATGTGTCCTTAATCAAGAAACTTTACATTTGTTAGATTCAGGAACACATTCCAGTATTGTTTCCTCTACTTAATCGACCTTAACAAAATCATATATATACTAAAAATTCATTATAAATAAAGTAGATTTCGACTGTTCCTTATGGTGATTTTCTTTCGGATTTTACCGAAATGTTTAGCTGAAGGTAATTGTATTCTTAACCATATCATAGAGGTAAATTGTCCAATGTCGGGTTCAAATTAAAATTTAAAAGTGATTTTCCTTTCACAAAATTCCAATTTCCCGCCCAATCAATTAAATTGTAGACTGTACATATACAGTATTGTCATGTTTCTGATAAAATAATGTTGGTCGGGATTTTTGTTTGTTTGTTTTACATCATTCGGTTCCTGTATTGAGTTGCTTTATTTTCGATACCATATCTTTGACAGCACCAGAACGTGAGCATTTCCGGAACTCTAGCTGAATGATGTCATCATACCGCCGCAACGTAATCTTTTGACCTTTTATGTGCAAAGAGGTTCCAGCAATCCTGTTTCTGGCACCAACCGAGTTTAATGTAATTATCCAGCTGAAATATATAAATATAATAGTTATGATAATGGTTATTTTATACAGACTCACAAGTCTATCGATTTTGTACTTGTAAATATATACTGTATATAGACCTTTTCACAAGTCAAATTTTTCCGTCGAATAATCGGTATGATACAAGAAGAAAAAAATTATGTAAAAAATTATAAAAAAAGACAACGCACTGATAAACTTAAAGAATTTACATATTTTAGTTACTTAAAACGAACACTTAAACTGGTGGCAACTTTTTAGAAAACAAATATTTTCAATTATATTCATATAAACTTATCCATACCGATTTTCGGTAACTATTGAATCTAGGTGCACGCCAAGTGGAACAAACTGCACCTCTTCTATCTTTGCGCCGGGATACAGAGGCAAAACGTCTTCTATTCGGTCACATACTTCCTTGTGCGAACAGTTTGAACCCTTGAAATGTAAATTTTCGGATGAAGTTATTAAAGCATTGTACAGGTTCATAACAATTGTATAATAATTCTGGTTTCTACAATTTTGTAAGCTGCTTTTTAATACCTGATGGGACTGTTTTGTAAGCTGCTTTTTAATACCTGATGGGACTGATACAGTACCCGCCCTGACACAGGCGGAATTTCTCGCTGAAAACATATAAATCTTCCACATGTACTAAGCCAATCTCTTGACTCGTGTTAATGTCACATATTTATTGTGAAACGATTTATAATACTATAGAAATTCTTCGACTAACGTGGAATTTTGAGTCACATGGACCCAGCACAGTGTTGGGATAGTGTAAAAAAAGTAATTCTAGAAAAAAAATATACTGTATATATAATATATAGACAAGGGGTTGAACTCGCCAAATCGGCCGAATGTCACTAGTTCAGTATAAGTCAAAATTGCAAAGTCATTTTTACGTAAATCATATAAAGCTATATATCAAATTGCAGCTAAATGACATCACTAGACGTTGACAATAACATAATTGTCCCCACTTATACCGTTTTTGAACAACAAACCGATATTTCGGATAGAATATCGTATTTTTGCTAGGTCGGACACGACCGCGAAATGGTCACAGTATCGTCTAATCAAACGGCGTCTTACAACCGGAGCCGAGTATGTATCATGGCTTCAAAAAAAAATTAACGGAAGAGTAATAAAAAAGAACTGAATTTTTGCTATACTTGATTGGTTTTGGAACAATTTCCAGCAGTAAGTTGTTTCTTTGAATTTGTTTTATCGATTTATTGCGGGTTGGTACAATGACATGGTTTAAAATTGTGTTTTTACACGTAGAAAATTGCGTAGGGACAGGTTACGCGATCGTGTCCGACCTAGCAAAAATACGATATTCTATCCGAAATATCGGTTTGTTGTTCAAAAACGGTATTAGTGGGGACATTTATGTTATTGTCAACGTCTAGTGATGTCATTTAGCTGCAATTTGATATATAGCTTTATATGATTTACGTAAAAATGACTTTGCAATTTTGACTTATACTGGACTAGTGACATTCGGCCGATTTGGCGAGTTCAACCCCTTGTCTATATTATATATACAGTATTTTTTTTTCTAGAATTACTTTTTTACACTATCCCAACACTGTGCTGGATCCCTGTGTTTTGAGTAAGGCGATTTTGACTTATTGAGAGTCAATTGTTTCTCTTATTTGAATTTTATGATGATTTTACTTTAAAATATTTCTGACTTTTATAATATCAAAACGATCTCGTTAATTTCAGCATGCATACCTTAATATAAAAGCAAACCGCCGTTGGCTTCAGTTCAGGTACGCCTTTGTGGCGACAACCACGCCCCTTGCAGTAATACGTCACATTCTTCATAAAGAATTTGTCTTTTTCGGCCTCTAGTCCAGAAATGAAATTTGAAGAAATATAAATATATCTTTGAAAACGTATATATTATTCCAACTATCATGAATGAAAATACAATGTATTCTTAAAAAGAGTATATATGATCATAAAAACAGTCCAAGATTGATTAGATACTTTGGAAAATTCCCCAAAAGATGTTCATAACATATAATAATAATAATAATAATGTTTCATATTTCCGTACGTAATGTTATTTATTGATAGAAATGCATATAATTCTTTCCAACAAATTAATAAAATAGTAAAATAGGTTTAAAAGAATATACTATACAGAACGTTTCATACAATTAAAAAAAAAGCTCAGTATATGAATGTTAAATCAAACAAACACGATATTTACAAAAATAGATATTTCCAAAAAAGAAATTATTTGCAATAACAAGAAGAAAACAAAAGAAAGAAGATTTATGCAAATAAAAAGTAGCGAGCATATTGTATTCAGTGCCATATTTTACGGCATGTTTGAAATTTATATAAAAAATGTAAATTAAATAATAAAGATAAAAAAAATACTAACCATCAGACTTGGCTTTAATAGCGGCGTATCCTTTAGGCATGGTTGTCATACACACAATCGCGCGCTTAATTCTCGTCTGCAAATTTTCTTTATTTCACATTATTTCCGGGATCCTATGAATTATTTAGCAGTATAACAAACTTAAGTTCTAAGTTTATATGTTATCTTATTGCATGATGGAATAATCACCTTCAACGGCCATTAAAAATCGGGAGATAGTTAAGACGATCTAATTAACATCACTGCCTGGAATAAGAATACATGTACAGTTCCCTTCCAAAGCAGAAGCTATTTTATTGCATCTAATCACGTAATAATAAGTTACGGATGTATATAGCCAACGATTGATTTCTATACTATATTACAACGGCATTGGAACGATTTTGAAACTGAAAATAAAAATGAGTAAAAAATAAGAGTCTTAATCCCATTCGAGAACAGATGGTAATAATTTCAAGATTTCAGCTCGAGTAAAGTTTGGTTGATCCAAGAAATGGCACAAAAAATATTCAGCGGTACCGTACCTTTATATATTTCACCGATTGGTATAAGGGTGACCAAAACCGAATGTCAAGGAGGGTTGAAATGGTACATGTTACTTCTATAATCTCAAGATCAATTCTCGAAAATGTTTTAATAATGAATTTCCCTATTATTTAACACATATATGTATATGTAGTATTGTACGTAAACACAATAAAATGTTTCGGAACAAAAATATCATGTAGGGTTTGCCTGCATGCACCATTCGCTCTGAAAGGAATACACTAATTTATTTCTTTCATACAGTTACTTTGGAAGTACATATACATCTTCAAAGTTATTTCAAACAATAATTTTGTAAACTACAGCTTTATTTACTTTGAATCATAATGATGATATACATGTATATATTTCTACTCGTACTGCGTGCTAAATAAAACCATATGGTTAATATGTAATGCCTGCAGCAGACTTCAATTTGGCGTTTATATATTCAATACAGGAGACTGGTTGGTATTTCTCTGAGCCATCTAACGGTTTAATGATACTGTTATACCGGTTTGAATGCACGCCCCGCTTTGGAGATATGCTAGAGGACTGATAAATAAAAATCCAAGATTTAAATTTTGAAAAACATTAATTCTTTATTCTGTGACAGTCAAGATGGAATATCTTTATATTTACAATACATTATAAATAATTATAATAATTATTTAGTAATTGCAATATCTAAATTAACAAATACATGATATGGGGAATTTAACAATAACTCGCTTTGCATGTGAGAAGATACCGAGATCTTGGTCGATGATAAAAATCCTTAATCAACCGATACTTATAAAAATGAACTTTTAAATAGCTTTGAAATGAAACTGATGATTGAATAAAATCAACTATATCAATATAAATTATATGAAAATATTACTTATGGAACAATTTATTAATAACTAAAATAATAGTATTTTTATTTACAAATTACTTTATATTAAGTAAAGAACTTAGATTTAACATTTCTTATAAAGCAAAACTAAACTTTATACATTTATTATCCTATGACATTTTACTTTACTTCTACAATAAGAAATATTCCAAGATCTCAGTTATTTAGGTTATAAAATACAATGATTATTTAATATGCAAAGTATTGAAAAAAATCTACAAAATATATATATTAAAACATATTTGAGAGAAACAGCTTAAGATAAAATAAAACATATTTCTTTACAGTGAAACATTGAATGAAGAACAGCAGATATATAGAAAAAAAAATAACTCAACATACCTGATAAATAAAAATCCAAGATTTAAATTTTGAAAAAACATTAATTCTTTATTCTGTGACAGTCAAGATGGAATATGACTTCACAGAATTTCTGACCAGTATATATACAAACAAGAAAGTGAAGCAGATTTAATCATAAAGGAAGATATTGACACATTTAAAAAGGGAAAGGAAATAAAACAATCACATATTCAAAAGATATGTGATGGCAGATCTTATAATTATTACCTAAGGGCATATAAAATCCCTGATCATATAAAAAAGTATTGTCACCTAGAACCATTAACATCTCTTTATATTTACCTTTAAGCAGGATATATTAATTTTGCAATTTAATCTGTAGATTTAATCTTAGTTATAATTTAAGTTTGACACATTTAATATGAAATGTGACAATAGTTGAAATAAAAATAATCAAGTACACAATTAAAATGAATAAGAATAAAACTTCAGTAAGAAAGAGAAGTTAATATTTATAGATAAATTATACATTAAAGTATATGTGCATGAACTGTTTAAGACTTACAAAACAGACAAAAAAGTACAAGATAAATTTAGATTATAACAATTGCCCAGTCCCCCTTAACTTTGGTCCCCAAAGTTGAAATAGAAATACCTGTACAATTAAATGAATTAATGAAACTGGAAAAGAAATATATACAGAGATGTAAGCATTTAAAATTATACAGTAATATGCATGAATATATACAAGACAAATTTACATTATAACAATGAACTATCAATTAGTTCCGAGATAAATCATTTGTTTTATGCAAGATTAAGAACTAGAAATTGTAGTTTCAAATTGATGCAATGCATAGTCTGGGCAGAAGGATCCACTTGCCTAAGCAAAGAGATGACTTGTTTTTGTTTGTTCAATGAACAAAACAAAGCAAAACAAAACAATGTTTTTTTCTAATTTCCAGACTTTGTCGCATATTCTTATGTCATGGCAGTAGAAACCTTCATTAAGAGATTGACTCATTCAACATGAATTCATGTGACACAAAATAAGAGGGATCTAGATATATCTTTATAAAAATGAAATTGTGATCTAATATATATACTAGAAAAAACAAATAACAACAGACACAGACAGATACAAACAATATAGATGTAGACCTCAGCCCGGTTTTAGATGGTGGCTAAACCATCTTATAGCACTACTAGACAACTAAAGTTAATTTGTTAGGACCTTTGGAGCGCTTTGCTACATTAAAAGACACACAAAAAAAACATGTAAAATAGGGATATAGATTTATTTATTTGTTAGGTTAACAGTGGATTATATAAAAACATACACACATAGACATAAATTTATTCATTTGAACCCAATGTGTTCTGGGTCTCATATGTTTTACTGCGGGTTTTCATTCCATGCTGTGAAGGCTTCCTATTTGCTTTCCTGATGAGATAGTTTTTGAATGTCGTCAAGATGACATTTATCCATATGTATCCATTCTCTAGATCCTTCAAATTGATAATGTTTCTTACCATTGATGAACCTATCTTTTGATGATTTTCCCTGAAATAAGTCCTCACCATTGGTTTCTTTATCTCCTAAAGAGGATCCAGCATTAGTATGTGCTGTTTCAGACTGCATAGGTTGATGCAACACTTGTTCCCTAGTAGGTCTGGAATAATCTTTGAGAGTTTAGGTTTGGGCTTGTACATAGAGTTTCAGTCTTGCCGCAAATTTACACCAAAACCTTTCAATGGCAAATTGAGTCTTTATGTCTATCAATCGATAGGTGAAATTTGGTCCGCATTGTTTGGATGAGGTATGGACCTACATGTTTTGGCATGAGCTTGGGTGAAAACTCCTTTCTTTGATTTCATATTTTTTTCAGAAAAGAACCCAATCACCTGTTTTAAAGCCTGGTTCCTTTGATTTTGCATCATGCCGTTTCTTTGACTTCTCCTGAGATATCTTGAGATTATCTCCGGCAATTTGCCTAGCTACGCCTAGGTTCCTGTACATTTGATCAAAGAATGATACTCCATCTAATCCCATTTCTGTTTTTTGGGATGAGAGAAGTATCGATTGGCAGGTTCATTTCTTTTCCAAAGAGCAAGTAAAAGGGTGAGAATTGTGTGGATTGGGTTGATGGTGACATACGTATTGCCATCATGGCAGCAGGTAGAATGGAAGGCCAATTGTTTTGTTCATCATTAATGTATGCCCTAAGGATCTGTTCCAGTGTGGAATTCAGCCGTTCAGCAGGTTGAATTTGGTCTGTGGATGATATGCACTGGTGTGATGTCGTGCTATATCAAACATCTCACACAGTGCACTCACCAACTTGGACATAAAGTTACGTTCCTCTATCGGAGACAAGAACCCTTGGAGCACCATACCTAGAAATAACTTGATTAAACAAGTGTTCGGCCCACTGTAACTGGCTTCCATATTTTTCATAGGTATTGCTTCAACACCATTTACTGAAGCTCTCTCTACAACAAGAAGAATGTATTGGAAGCCTTCTTCAGATTTTGGTAGAGGTCCAAGAATATCTATATGCCATCTATCCAGAATTTGATCAATTGGCATGCTAGTAAGAGGTATACTATGTGGATGCCTGTCAACTTTAATCCTTTGACAAACATCACATTCACGAACATGATTTACCATATCCTGATAGTAATTAGGCCAGAAGTATTTATATTTCAAAAAGCCGCAAAAAGAACGTTGCTGTCCTAGATGACATCCTCCTGCAATACAATCATGATAGCTAGCTAGGATGTCTTTTTCGAAATTGTTTAGGCACAGCTACTTGGTAAAATTGTTCGTTTTCTGATTTGCCACGTGACTCATAGATATGATATAATACTCCATCCAGTAGCATGTAATGGTTAGCTTCTCTACCAGTCTTGTCAGCCAATTTGTTGTCCTCGAGGGGATGTTCTCCTTTCTCTAAATATCTATAAATGAATTTAAAATCTTCAACATTCTTGTTGATGAATACCCATTTCAGGTTTTTCCCAGAGTGGTTTTGATCGGTTTCCTTCTTCATCATTTTGTTTGCTTTCCACTCCATTACTTTCAATATCTGAGTCATCTTTTTGTTTTGATTCCTGTTGTTTTTCTTGATTTAGAGTCCTTTACAGAATTATTTGAATTTGGATTATAATCTACATTAGTTATTTTGTCTATACAACCCTCTTCATTTTTAAGATACATGGATTCTTGCTATAGCTGGATTTAAATTATAGTTAAAGAAAACTTCAATTCTTTCTGGTTCTTCTGAAACCTCCTCTGTACTTGTGAAAGAAAAAGACCCATCCGCCATATTTTGTTTATTTTGAGTTTCCGGTTCGTCGTGTGTTACCTCTACAGATGAACCTGACAAATGAGTATTATTAACATTTGCCATGGCCACTGTTTGTTGGGTTTTCTTTAAGGATTCAGGATCTTCATAAACAGACACACTTGGCTCATCAGAATAGACACGACGAGACAAGGCATCTGCATTCATGATTTGCAGATCCTTTCCTATGGATGATCTCATAGTTATATGCCTGCATCTCCATAGACCACATCTCCCAAGTCTACTTGAGGTGTCTTTGACTTTGTGCAGCCATATTAACGCCTTGTGGTCTGTGTATATCTTAAATTGCCTATGTACCGAAATATTGTTTATTATGTCCGAATACCTTCCAAAACAGCTAGACATTCTTTATCCGTAACACCCCCCATTTCCTTTCATCAGAACGTAGAGCCCGACCTCCGTACACACACACACCCTTTCTTTTCCATCAAGACCCTTTTTGACCTCAAAATATAGGCCAAAGAAGTATCCGAGGCATGAAGTGGTGAGTATGAAGACTGGTTTCATGTCTGGATAATGAATCATCGGAGCTGTAACCAAAGCATGCTTCAAATTCTTCAAATGCTTTTTGGTGTTTATCCTCCCATATAAACTTCCGGTCCTTTTGTAATAGCTCATTTAAGGGAACTGTAAGTTTTTGAGGTAATTAAGTACAAATTTTCTGTAGTAAATTACAAAGTCCTAGAAATGAGCGATAGTGATCTCTGGTTAGTTGGGGTTGGAAATTCATCCACAGCTTGAGTCTTTTCCTTGTCCACCTCAACTCCATGTTTTGAAAGAATATGTCCTAAATATTTAACCCTTTCAATGTAGAATTGTTTAGAAATGACTGAGAAATGCATGAAATTTCTGCACCAGTATCTAACAGACATTGAATTTTCTTGTTCCCAATGTTGCAAACAATAGTATTTCTTTGCAGCCCAGACATAATTGCAATTAGTGGTGACTTTTGAAATGTAGCACTACTTGAAGAGTAATTAGATTTGAATGTTGTCTTTCTCTTAACGTTTTGATTCACCATGCCTTGATTGCCAGTATGCCTACCCACAGGTTTCCTGTAAGTAGGCACGTTTCCCTAATGTACATATCGGAGATGACCAACCTCATTACATTCATAGCAAGTAGCCTTCTGACCAGGACATACATTGTTATAAAAGAAACTACAAAATCTAGCCTTACCATTGCAGTGAGGACATGTATGCTGGTTTTGCTGATAACTGTTTTGCTGATGAGGTATGTGCTGCTTCTGAGGATGTTGTTGTGATGGCTGAGCTTGAATCCGATTGAAGTATCCTTGACCTTGTAGTGAAGCTTTGCTGCGATCTGATGCCCTTGGTTGACTTTTCCGTAAATTTTGTGTTTCCCGCAAGAGACCCTCAAATTTCTGATTTAAACTCTCCATGGCCTCTTTAATTGGTTGAACTAAACTTTCCTGCATGACAGTTTGTAAAGTTTGAATGTTCGGTTCAAGAGCACTAACTGGTGCAACACCAGGCTGAATTCCAGTAGCATCTGCTACAAGTTTTGCACGACGTCTTGCGTCTTCAACGGTTTTCGGTTCATTGAGTTTAACTTGTGTACGATAGAGTGAATTTAATCCTTTTATGAATAAGCTAACTTTTTGTCCTTCTGTGAGTTCACAATATCGAATTAATGAAATAAAACGATTGAAATACTGATCAACAGTTTCTACGGGTGATTGTTCAATATTAGGAATTTCATCCTTATCGATAAGGGAAAAACGTGTTGAAAGAGCTGCCTTTAAAGTGGCATAATCTTTGATCGTTGGCTCCTTCTTTGCCACTGTACTGTACCAGAGTCCGGCTCCATCAACAAGGCACAATTGTAAGTCTTTGTACATTTGCTCTGCATCAATGTTTTCCCGCTGAGCAAAAAGCTCAAATCTTTCAAGCCAAGAATCAACATCTTCAATACCATTATAACCCTGGAGGCGAAAGTTACTCAGATAACTGGAGCTTTGTCTTGTAGACATAGTGATTAATGATGTAGTGGCTACCTGTGGAGCTGTGACTGTTGGCAGAGAACTAGTTGATTGATTACGCCTTGGAGGGCGGATTGGAGTAACTGGAGATGAAGATGATTCTCCACTTCGAAGGTAGTATCGGTTGACTGGATCTGACATCGACCACCACTGTTACCCACCACTTGTTATACCGGTTTCGATGCGCGCCCCTTTTTGGAGATATACTAGAGGACTGATAAATAAAAATCCAAGATTTAAATTTTGAAAAACATAAATTCTTTATTCTGTGACAGTCAAGATGGAATATATATATTTTACAATACATAATAAATAATTATAATAATCATTCAGTAATTGTAATATTTAAATTAACAAATACATGATATGGGGAATTTAACAATAACTCGCTTTGCATGTGAGAAGATACCGAGATCTTGGTCGATGATAAAAATCCTTAATCAACCGATACTTATAAAAATGAACTTTTAAATAGCTTTGAAATGAAACTGATGATTGAATAAAATCAACTATATCAATATAAATTATATGAAAAATATTACTTATGGAACAATTTATTAATAACTAAAATAATAGTATTTTATTTACAAATTACTTTATATTAAGTAAAGAACTTAGATTTAACATTTCTTATAAAGCAAAACTAACTTTATACATTATCTTATGACATTTTACTTTGCTTCTACAATAAGAAATATTCCAAGATCTCAGTTATTTAGGTTATAAAATACAATGATTATTTAATATGCAAAGTATTGAAAAATCTACAAAATATATATATTAAAACATATTTGAGAGAAACAGCTTAAGATAAAATAAAACATATTTCTTACAGTGAAACATTGAATGAAGAACAGCAGATATATAGAAAAAAAAATAACTCAACATACCTGATAAATAAAAATCCAAGATTTAAATTTTGAAAAACATTAATTCTTTATTCTGTGACAGTCAAGATGGAATATGACTTCACAGAATTTCTGACCAGTATATATACAAACAAGAAAGTGAAGCAGATTTAATCATAAAGGAAGATATTGACACATTTAAAAAGGGAAAGGAAATAAAACAATCACATATTCAAAAGATATGTGATGGCAGATCTTATAATTATTACCTAAGGGCATAAAATCCCTGATCATATAAAAAGTATTGTCACCTAGAACCATTAACATCTCTTTATATTTACCTTTAAGCAGGATATATTAATTTTGCAATTTAATCTGTAGATTTAATCTTAGTTATAATTTAAGTTTGACACATTTAATATGAAATGTGACAATAGTTGAAATAAAAATAATCAAGTACACAATTAAATGAATAAGAATAAAACTTCAGTAAGAAAGAGAAGTTAATATTTATAGATAAATTATACATTAAAGTATATGTGCATGAACTGTTTAAGACTTACAAAACAGACAAAAAAGTACAAGATAAATTTAGATTATAACAATACATTCATTATCTGGATTAATGAAGAACACGACTGATTGCCTGGGCTTTCTTCTTTGTGATTCTACTTCCGGTATATTTACCATATGCTTTACGGCAGTCAGCGAGTCAGAAGTCCATCGTTGAAGAAGATCGGCAGCGAACAAGACAATGGTACCGGGAACAGGGGTCACTGGTACGATCCCATGTCCCGGCATGTTGACCTCTAGTCCCCCGACATCATCTTGAAATAGAAATGAAACCGTCCCATAATCAGAATGTTCACCAAGACGAATTTGGTCATGTTTTACGGAGATATCTGAAGGTAATGGTGGATAAAACAGTGTTCTCAAAGCCGATAGATTTTTCATTTGACCAATATATCTATGCTCATCCCTTAAAAACCTCTGGTTTAGACCTAGGCCTAGAGACAGCGCGTCTAGGATATTGTTTCCAAAGGTTGTACAACGATCAAATAACTCTTTACAAGCTTTATAAAACTCTTTATTTTCCCAGTCTGCTTGATCGTCTACAGGATGATAATTAAAGGACTCCTTCAAGTCTCCTGGTCGTTGAGTATTTAGATTTTCGTGTTCATACGGATAATAACCGAATTCTTGTTTCGGTCCATGTACATACTTCATTTTTACCTCTCTTGGCTGTTTAAAGAATTCTTCTGCCAAAGCAAAATATTGATCAATGAAACCCCGGTCAATACCATGATTCTTGATGTAGCAGACACCAAATTCGCAGAGCGCATCCGTTACTTTTTTACCTACACTTGCTAATGTATCAACGTCAATATCACGTGACGTCCGGTAAATAGCTATCCCATCAACGTCAATTACCGGAAATAGTTTACTTTCATCATCAGACATGCTACAAGATGAATAAAAGAAAATATTTAGACATTAAGGAGACATTAACTGTTACATATTAATTGCATTATAATCTTCAGTTCACAATTAAAATTATCTTGTTTCCATTGATTTGAGCCAAAAATTCAAGAAAGTCAATTTCTAAGAAAGAGTAATACATGATACATGCAATGAAAGGCTGATTTTGCAGTATTTATCACAATTTTTATACTGCGTGACTAACGCGCAGTATGTGCGTTTTTGCATGTCATTTTTTTGGCAATTTACGTGGGTTGAAAGTTAAATAAAACTATTTAAAGACAAAATTGCAGTATGTGTAATTGTGAATCTTATTTGTTTCGAATTTACGATTAAATGATGTTGATCAAGACACTGAAAATTGTTACACTATGAAATTTAACAACGAGAAAGAGCTATCTTTAAATGTCTTTCTTGTTTCACTTTTAAGTTTTAGTAGATGTCTAATAATAATAATAATAATAATAATAATATAATAATAATAATAATAATAATAAGAAGAAGAAGAACAACAACAACAATTATAATAATAATAATAATAATAATAATAATAATAATAATAATAATAATAATAATAATAATAATAATATTAATAACAATAATAATAATAATAATAATAAAGAACATACATGCTGCATACACAAATCCACAGCTTTATATAATAAGTGGACAAGTTCGCCTCCTTACCAATTAAATGACCTTTTCTAATGTTTTGTATAGTGTATTAGGATTATATGAAACGTAAATGGTGACATAGAAATGTCCTGTAGAATATAATAATTTGCATGCAAACACATACAGCGTGTACATTTACTTACTTAGCAGTCAACACTAGTTCGTGTACATACATAATCAGACCATCCTGTTGTATTATATTTTGTTAAATCCGCACTTCAGTCTGTTTTCGTTTGCGCCAAATTTGATATATTTTCTGCTTAAAGTCTGTAACTATAATTATCTTCTGCTTGTATTTTTGAGTGAAGCAAATCGGTAAATTCAGAAAATCAAAGTGCTGCAGCACTGAATGCGACGGACATGCAACCGGAGAGACATTAAGGCTTCTTTTAGAAATCAAAGGGCTGCAAGCTCTGTGGTATTTTCTGATCTTTGCAATCTAAATCGCACTGTATATCTGTATTATTTTCCTGTATATGTTTATTTTTATGTACTATAATTCTTCTTGCAGGGCACCAGAGTTTGATACGTACGGAATTTTGCATGACTAGAGTTGCATCAAAAATCATTTATGTTCATTTGTATAACAGCCACACTTTATCCTAGCATAACGTGGCTCCTTCCTTAACAAAGAAACTTTAAAAATAAATTTAAAAAATAGTTGCCTTGAATGGGATTTGAACCCCAGACCCCTGACACTCTAAACGAGCGCGTTACCCCAGCACCACGGAGAAGTCATACGAAGGGCCTGAATAAAATCAAGTAATACTAAATTAAGAATTTCTATTGCATTTCGGGTTTGTAATCCTTATCAATTTCGAGGTATTTTGTTCACTATAAACCTGTTGTTTAACATTGGTGTAAATAATTTAGCAAAAATCTTCTCGCCAAAACAGTCCGACATGTATATATTCCACTACTCGACAGTCAGATTTATTTGTGTAGTATTCGGTAATCGACATCGCTAAAAATAGCATTTCCATTGATTAAAATCATATCCATCCGCGTAATTTGTGAATGTACATTTATTGACAATTCTATAACTCGAAGTCACTTTTAAACTTTGAAAGCGTTGTAATTTGTTGGATACTTGTAACAAAATAAAACTATTTCTTTTAAATCGCTAGGTTTAAGCTGTTTTAAGATTTACTTGTTGTTAGGTTTGTCGTGAAACAGCTGTGTAAGAGATTGAATGTTAGCTTTGTATTTCCTGATCTTCGATCAGAAAATACAACTATTAAACGTCAAGATTATCCAATGAAAAATGACGTTACAAACGTGCCAGTATTATAAATGTATTTCGATCAGTCATGATAGATGATGTGAAAGGTCAAACGTCATTTGCAGTTGAAATATACAACATTCAACTGGAAAAATACGTCTGTCTAATCAAATACATGAGATGGAAACAAATCATTGATCTCAAAATGTACTCTAAAAACAAACCAAAGGAGAAAAGACGTTTTATCACGAAAATCAGTTACATTAATTTATTTAGAATATATGTAAAGCAAAATGTTTTTAGAAAGTTAAAAAAGAACACTATATTTTTGAACATCTGTAGTAATAAAATATTTCTAAATAAATGTGAAAAAATGTTTTGTGATAGCATATTTCTTAATATCTGTGACAAAATATGTTTTGTATATCTGCAGGTACAATTTGCTTTATATATCTTTAGATAGACATATTCATATAAATGAATATTCAAACATTGACTGATAAATTTAGATACATGAAGTCGATACATTTACACCGTAGGGAACGTGTTACAGTATCGCGCTTTCCGGTTACAGTATAGAATTTTCAAGATGGAGGATTATTTGTGGCGAAGACAGATAGGTGATTTTATTCCGGTCCATACTACAAGTAGTTCAGTTTCTTAAAGATGGAACTAGATCAGGTATCTAGCCATATATTTTTTCAGACCTTGCACCGCAGTTTTATCTCTACATATTGTCTCATAAATGTGCTGATTTGACAGATTGAAAATTTGAATCGAGAGACCAACGCATTTTTCTCCAATTCCGACATTATTTAAGCATGTCTACAATAAGTAAACCTACAAATCATTAGTCCTTTGTGTTTAGAAACGTTTATAAAAGTAAATGACCAGTTGAACCTATTTTCTTGTTCGTCAAATGCGTTCGAAAAATAAACAATGTTACAGTATAGAGCGAGGTGAATTGTGCAGGGTTACAGTATAGACCCAGCGATTTTTATCTGATTTTGTTACAGTTTATACCCAGATTTCGGTTACAGTTTAGACCTCAGTATTTTCTATATATACTAGGTAAAATGTATAAATGATGATATTATAGACTTTTAAATTAAGCTTATTGGCCCGATGACTATTCGTCCGTCTGTTGTACACATGTGTGTCCAATGACATCCGCTCAGTAACTACTTGGCCAGATTTGATGAAATGCACATGAATTTCTACCAAAGTTGTTCAAATGGTTTCGGTTGCAATCTTGGATACAAAAACAAAAAATATAGATTTTTAAAAAAGGCAATATAAATCATTCTTCTCTCGAACCAAAAAGCATTCGCTGTGAAGCATTTTGCAAAGAAAGATAAAATCATGACCCTGGTGTCATTTCGAATGCTTCCTTGTTGAAATGGGAATTATTTTGTCATTTTTGAATTAAAAGTCGTTTTTTTATTACAGACATTCTGTACGTCTGAAAAGGAAAATGATATTGAAAGATATCAAGCAAAAATGACAGACAATTACCCTATATTTTCCATAGAGCCTGATGGAGGTACATAATAGTGGCAGAGTCGGGTTAAGGTCTTTCTTCTAAGTAAAACGTTTACTGGGATCCATGTAATTTCAAAAAAAAATGTTCATGCTTTTTATGTAGTTCTTCATCGTTATAAATCAAACACTGCTTCAGCAATACACGAACAATTATTATTCTGTTGCATTGCAAAAAATAGGGAAAATGTGATCTCTTAAGAAAGAAAATGCTTCTTTACTAGCTTCTATAAAATACTTTGACTTGAAAGTGAAGACATATGAAGGGTATTTTCAACGGAAAATAATTATGATTAAATACTGGGTTAAGTTATTATCGCTTCAAGAAAGTACTATCCTTTTTAAAACATATTCTATGTTAAGAATGGACAACAAGCAGTTATTGTAGCTTAAAATTCACTGTACACAGACACAGAATATCTACATTTTCATTCAAATAAAAAATATGTTGATCTAATCATTTTATTTCTTCAGTTTGTTTTAGTTTTGATTTTATATTACCAGTACATTATGCATGATTAAAAAGTCAAAAAAAAAAAAAGAAAACAAAATAATACATGTCATACGCTAGTTTTTGAACTCCGATTTCTTGGGTGACAGTCATCAACAACATCCACTAGGCCAGAGAGTCTATTACTAAAAGTATTGTTAAAAATAAATTCTACCGTTAAACCTACTATCTGTAATCTTTTGTCCATCGATGTGAAGTAATCTTTTGTCCATCAATGTGAAGTAATCTTTTGTCCATCGATGTGAAGTAATCTTTTGTCCATCGATGTGGGGTTATCTTTTGTCTATCATTGTGAAGTAATCTTTTGTCCATCAATGTGGGGTTATCTTTTGTCTATCATTTTGAAGTAATCTTTTGTCCATCAATGTGAAGTAATCTTTTGTCCATCGATGCGAGGTTATCTTTTGTCCATCGATGTGAAGTAATATTTTGTCCATCGATGTGGGGCTATCTTTTGTCTATCATTTTGAAGTAATCTTTTGTCCATCAATGTGAAGTAATCTTTTGTCCATCGATGCGAGGTTATCTTTTGTCCATCGATGTGAAGTAATCTTTTGTCCATCGATGTGGGGCTATCTTTTGTCTATCGATGTGGGGCTATCTTTTGTCTATCGTTGTGAAGTAATCTTTTGTCCATCGATGTGGGGTTATCTTTTGTCCATCCTTGTGGGTTTATCTTTTGTCCATCGTTGTGGGTTTATCTTTTGTCCATCGTTGTGAAGTAATCTTTTGTCCATCGATGTGGGGTTTTCTTTTGTCCATCGTTGTGTGTTTATCTTTTGACCATCGTTGTGAAGTAATCTTTTGTCCATCGTTGTGGGTTTATCTTTTGTCCATCGATGTGAAGTAATCTTTTGTCCATCAATGTGAAGTAATCTTTTGTCCATCAATGTGATGTAATCTTTTGTCCATCAATGTCAGGTACTCTTTTGTACATCAATGTAAAGTAATCTTTTGACAATCAATGTGTAGTAATATTTTTTCTATTCGATTGAAAGGTGGTGACTACCGGTAAAATGTAAACAAAACAATGATGTATTTTGGCTAAAAGCTTTCACGATTTTTATAGCGATGTAAATGTTAAATTCGTATAATTAAGTTACTGTTGCATTCATGAAGGATATATGGAATATTATTAAAATATGTAAGTTGGAATTTGAATGTTGCATAAAGAGGTTATCTTGAACTTTTAGAAATTAAATGTGTGGAGAGACTTTTTGTGAGCAATTTGTGAGCGCAAAATAGCCTGAGGGTCTACCGTCCCTGACAAAATTGGCTGTCACGCATGACTGAGCCGCTATCGGCTTTAATATGCTTTTGTTGAACAGTGTGATATTTATATATTTATAGAAGATTTATGTTGAAATGATTTATGTATCATAATGAGCTCAAATGAAAGCAAGACAACGCTCTTCAACTGTTAGTGAATTAGATACCAGTGACAATATTGACCTGTTTACTCAGTTTCTAAACAAAAATGTAAAAAGACTAAAACTAAAAAGTAAAGCACAGTAATCCAAAACCTCAATCTAATAGCACGCCCAAAAATAATTGCATTATGGACGACAGCTCGGTGTATAATACTTCTGCATTTTTAAAGGAAACTTTATACGAAACAAAATTTGAAAAGCAGCTGGCAGACATCAGTATTCAATTATCAACACTATTATCAAAAGATGATACCACTTTTATAAAGAAAATTATCGAAGATAAAATGAATGAAATGAAAGTAAGTTAATGACTAAGAGAGTAGAGGTTCTCGAACATGACGTCCATACACAAGCTCAGAAATTGAAAAACTAGAACAAAAGATTTAATTTAACGAAAGAATTAAAAAAAGATGAATTTTGCTGTGAAAAATTTGAAAACGAGTCCGAACAATACAGTCGCAGAAATAGTGTTCGAATCTTTGGCATTACGGACGATTGCAAAAATTATTAGACACAATAAAAAGCAAATCAGATCTTGTTCTACAGAAAGCAGATATTGACATCAGCCACAGACTTGGAAAATAAAAAGTCGGCAAGCATAGGCCAATTATAGTTAAATTTGTAAGACGCCAAACAAAAGTCGAACTTTTCAACAGGTCAAAACACCTGAAAGAACATAAGATTTATGTCAACGAAGATTTGACGAAAATGAACGCGGACATGTTGGCATCCTGTCGTGTAAAAGACAAGTCAAATGTTGAAAAAGCGTGGTCTTTTGAAGGAAACATTTACGTGAAATATGCATCACAGGGATTTGCTACGCAATTGCAATTAAACTACCGCTATTGGTTAAATCTTCCGTGGCCGGAAAAGGATAAAACACATGCTCAGGATTTAAGCAAAAGCCAAGGATACTCAACTACATCTAAACAGTCATATAGTTCTATGCCTCAAACAACAATCCAGACCCTTCCGCAGTATTCCAAACCAGGACTGTCTTATGCAGCCGCGGCCAAATGACCTATCACTTATTTTCAAAAAGAATATTATTTTCACAAACAAGTGAATCGTAACGTGATTAAAGTTAATTCCCTTTGACCGATTTCTTCATCCTGTATGCAGTATGTGCTATTTGTATCATAGTTTGGGGACCTTTCTGTTAAAAAGTGTCCGAGTTAAATCGTATACATATGCATGCACAGTGCGGTAACTGGAGTGCAGGTATCAGTTACCCGCACTCCAGATCATGCCCGTTGATTGGCTAATTTTTCCTGGGGTTTACATATTGTGACGGCAGAGAAAGGGAAAGCGGCAGAAATATCATATTCAGATGCTCGATCATTGGTTACTTTTTCCCGGGGTTTAAATTTGTGACAACAGGGAACGTGTTTTTATGTTTGACTATGATACAAAAGAGAAAGAACACCAAAACACTCGGCAATCTGATTCATACTCGGGGGCTACGCCCCCTCGTACAAATCAGATAGCCTCGTGTTTCGGTGCTCTTTCTATTACATAAACAATAAACTAAAATGATGACAACGACGAAGATCTTGTTTCTAATTACATATAAAAATACTAAAGTTCTCTTGTTTTTTTATGGTGTAGAATATTATCTTATTTCAGCCGTGGCTACCGACGCTGATGATAACTTGATATTGTTAATATTGTTTTTATTTCTTTCTTTTCTTTCCTTTTTGCCATCTGTCAAGTAGCTTTTTAAAAACCTGTCTATTTTGTTTATTCATACTATCTTTTTCACCTGTCGAGTAAATTGTCATTTGGTGGAAGCTACTCATCAATACTTTTTTGTCACATGTCGAGTATCTTTGACAATCAAATTGTATGTTGTTCTATTATACACATATTATCATTTTGTCACTTGTCTAGTAGCCTTTTTAAACGACCACCAATATTGTTTATACATGTACATTAAATCATTGTGTCACCTATCGAGTAGCTTTTAAAAGACCATCGGTGTTGTTTATACATATAATCATTGTGTGACCTATCGATTAGCTGTTTAAATGATTATCAATGTTTGTTTATACATACAATCAATCATTGTATGAACTGTCAAGTAGCTTTCTAAAAGAGATGGAAATTACAGATTGGAAATGATGCAAATACTTTTTGATCTGTTACATTTTTAAATGAAAGGGCTGCAAGCTCTGTGGTATTTTCTGACCTTTGCAATCTAAATCGTACTGTATATCTGTATGTATTTTCCTGTATTAGTTTATTTTTATATACTATAATTCACCTTGCATGGCACCGAGATGCAGCGACTGCGTTTTGATTTTTTACTTTAACAGTTTGAGTTTGATACATACGGAACTATGCATGACTAGAGTTGCATCAAAATTCATTTATGTTCATTGTTTTTGACAGCAACGCTTTATCCTTTTATCCTTGCATATCGTGGCTACTTCCTTAATAAAAAAAGTTGCCTCGACTGGGATTTGAACCCCAGACCTCTAACACCCTAAACGAGCGCGTTACCCTTGCACCACGAAAATGTTTAACGAAAACAGCCTGAATAAAATCAAATAATTCTAATTTTAGAATATCCATTCCCACAGATATATAAATCTTATATTTAGCTCCATGGTAATCCTTATTAATTTCGAGGTATTTTCTTCACGATAAACCTGTTGTCTAAAATTGATGTAAATAATTTAGCGAAAATCTTCTCCCCAAAACAGTCCGACATGTATATATTCCACTACTCGACAGTGTAATACGCTCTGAGGTAAAAAAAAATAGAATTGCCTCGACTAGGATTTGAACCATAGGCCTCTCACACCCTCAACGAGACCGCTTACCTCTGCACCACGGCGAAGTTATACATATGTACCTTGAATAAAAACGAATACATTATGTCATTCTAAATTGAGAATTTCCATTTCGTGTTTGTAATCCTTATTAATTTCGATGTATTTTGTTCACGATAAACCTGTTGTTTAACACTGATGAAAATAATTTAGCGAAAATCTTCTCGCCAAAACAGTCCGACGTGTATATATTCCACTACTCGACAGTCAGATTTATTTGTGTACTACGCTCTGGAGTATTCGGTAATCGACAAAGCTAAAAATAGCATTTTCATTGATTAAAATGATATTCATGATAATCTGAAGCTTTACGGAAATAGCCGAACATTTTTCATTGGGTAAAAAAGATATTCATCCGCGAAAGTTGTTATTGTAACCTCATATTTCTGTTGACTAATCTAAACTTTTAGTGCACTGTAATTCGTTAAATGCCTACATTAAAAATTATTCTTTCTTTTAAATTGCTGGTTTTTAAGCAGTTTTGAGTGAGAACTACTTTGCGTTGTTAGGACTGTGAGGAAATTTTGTGTTAGACCGTGAATGTTAGCTATGTATTTACTGATCTTACGATCAGAAAATACAAAAACAAAACAAAAACAAAACACAAAATATATAACAGAGAAAATTTGTTCCATACAAGTTCGAGATTTGTAGAGCAATATATTTTGTGTCCCAAACTGATATAATTCAGATTTTCTACTTTCAAGCACTTAAATACAGAATGAATTTTATGCCTAAATACTCTGGTCAAACTTGTAAATTAGTGTCCTTATCGATTAATTCCAACAAATGATATGTAAATAGAAAAAAAACTGTCAACGAAATATTTTTAAAATAAAACCAGGCAAATAAACTTCAAACATAATATATTTTACATTTGAGAATGCTATTTAGAAATGCTTCGTGTTATATCATAGTGGGCATATAGACAATAAAATATAAGTCATTTGTATTTTTATTTCTCTTGGATATGTCTCATTAAAAAAAAAATTTGGTTAAAATCATCAGCAATTAAAAGTGTATTTTTTAGATTTTTTTTATTTACAAGGTAAATATGTAGAGGCCAGAGCACATCGTTTTTATTTTAATTTAAATGTCACTTAAGCACTACAGTGTTTAGTTGTCCTTTTCAATTTCACACTAAATTCCATTTTCAACTGGTTTGCTTCTTACAATTGTATAGAATTTCTTACATGTATAATGTGTACTCCCTAATCGCCTGTCCAAAAATCAGAACAGGTGAAGCAGAATCTATTTTTAGAATAGCGAAGGTTAACTCATATCATGACCTAAAAAAATATGTAAACAAACCACAAGAATCGGAAGTAGAACTGATATTATAACTTCCTAATCATGAAAGACTACATGGCGGTAAAGTGTTGAAAACTCTCTTCTTACATGCATTTTCAAAAATAGATATTTATACTAACCATTGTACTGTATCTAATATAATATATTAATAACTGCTGAATATTCAGCTAAACCCGCAGTATGAGTCACGAAAATAGTTCTTCTTTTATTAATGCGCGAGTTATCCTAGAGTCACGAAAAACTTTTGATTTGTTAATAATAATGTTTTGTATAATGTAGAAATATTTATTTCCTACTAATAATGTCTTGGAACTCAGAGGTTACACCTTTATTGTAGTATAATTTGCTGTCCTACTTTTTCGACAGCGGTAAATCGTTTCGGCAGTAATTTGCATATTGCGCAATAATACTACGGGACTACAACGTTTTTATCAATAATATACGTTCATATTTTAACTTGGATAACTTAATTTGAAATTGGAAAGGCTAAATATGGAAGATTTTAAGATATCCAGACAAAGTATGGGAGTTTTGAAGGATCGAATTCATGTACTATTTCTTGGGCTGTTAATCGGTTTAGGACACATTGCGCGATAGTAGCCAACGAATTCCCATGTGTAGATGACTTAGCTCTGAACGCGCCTGAGGGCGCGTCCGTCGCAAAAATGTTTTTGACAACTTGCCAGCTTTTTACTACCGTACTTGTGACTATTTTTGAGTGTGCAGCAGTGCTCATTTTCAGCTGAAAAGGTTTGGATATTCATCTTAGTCATGATTCGAGTAAAGCGGATCGGAAATCATCTCTATGGTTAACTACACGTACAAATAGCTTGTTTTTGGTATGAATGCGCAGTCACAACGTCTAAGCTTATTTGATCAGATATATTATGCTGGACCACGAATTTACCAGTAGATAAACTTTAATTTGTACTTATATATTCAAACATTGCAGGAGCATGATAGGTTTTGTGTAAAATAGTGTACTTACATTTGTGTGTCTGGGTAAAACAAACTCCCTCAACGTAAGTTTTATTTCCAATTCTTGTTGGGCTTTCTTTAGGGATTCTTATTTGTCTATATTTTAGCTTTTATTTTTATAAGTATTCTATATACTATCATGCACATGTAATACAAATATGCAACGATTAAAAACAAGAAAACATGTTTAAAAATTGTTAGCAAGTTGTGACAAAGTGAGTTGCTTGACATATATGGCACTTATCCTAATTGTTAGTGCCATTAACACTTACCTTGCTAATGCGCTGTGCTCTGACTTTAAAACAGTCCGTTCAAAGTTTAAGAGGAATGAATATCAAAATACATGTGCAAAAATGTTCAAGGAACAGTAAGGTGTCTGGTCATCTTACACTAATGTAACGAGACTGCCTGGCTCTATATACTGGCGACAAAGGCTAATAATTTTTGTTGTCAGCAGGTTTTGGGTTAAAAAGTGTACATGAAAGAAAGATTAATGGGATCATTTCCTTGAAGAAACTAATTGAATAAAGTATTAGTATATTTAGCACCTTTCTTTATTAACAAGTTATTTGTAAAAAAATATAGTTTTCTTTATAATTACTTTATAACAAAGTCACATTTAATAATCTTTATTGACCAGCAAAATTTTTTTATCGTAGCTTCCGTTTCAATTTCCGGTCAGAATTCTTAGCCCACTTATTATACGACTATGACATTGATTAGTGTGTGACTTCTTTGCCTCAGACCTCTTTGTTTAAGTGCTTTAGACCGGATATGTTGCGCATGAATGGTCTTAATGAAAATATCATGACACTTCCTCTTTTAGTTAAAATATCACATACTACACAGGATTTACTGCAGAATAGTTTTCAAAATTTGATGCTATATATATATTACATTCGAGCTCGTTTTTTAAAAATGATATTATCAAATTAGTCGAATACTATTCTTATTCTTATCTAACTCATCATATGTCTTTTTCCCCAGGCATCAAGAGACATGTCAAGTCGAAACTTTCCCGTGATTGACGTTGCGGATATAAGTCTGCACCGGAAGTCACAAGATGTTGGCGCAGACGTCCTGGAAGCTGTTGGAAAAAGTATTTTGGGCGCGCTCTGCGAATTTGGTGTCTGCTTCATCAAGAATCATGGTATTGACCAGGGTTTCATTGATCAATATTTTGCTTTAGCAGAGGAATTCTTTAAACAGCCTAGAGAGATGAAAATGCAGTATATCAAGGGGCCGCAACGAGAATTCGGTTATTACCCATATGAACACGAAAATTTAAACACTCAACGACCAGGAGACTTGAAGGAATCCTTTAATTACCATCCTGTAGACGACCAGGCAGACTGGGAAAATAAAGAGTTTCATAAAGCTTGTAAAGAGTTATTTGATCGTTGTACAACCTTTGGAAACAATATCCTGGACGCGCTGTCTCTAGGCCTAGGTCTAAACCAGAGGTTTTTAAGGGATGCGCATAGATATATTGGTCAAATGAAAAATCTATCGGCTCTGAGAACACTGTTTTATCCACCATTACCTTCAGATATCTCGGTAAAACATGACCAAATTCGTCTGGGTGAACATTCTGATTATGGGACGGTTTCATTTTTATTTCAAGACGATGTTGGGGGACTAGAGGTCAACATGTCGGGTCATGGGATCGTACCAGTGACCCCTGTTCCCGGTACCATTGTCTTGTTCGCCGGAGATCTACTTCAACGATGGACTTCCGACTCAGTTGTCGCCATAAAGCACATGGTTAATATACCGGAAGTGGAATCCAAGAGAATGAAGACAAGGCAGTCGGCTGTGTTTTTCATAATTCCAGATAATGAATGTGTGGTTAAACCATTAGATGGCTCGGAGAAGTACGAACCAGTGGCATGTATCGATTATATGAATGCTAAATTGAAACCAACAGCTGGTATAACCTACTAGATATGTCATGCAAACTTTGTCACGTGATCAGGAACTTTATCCTCAGATGTGTGTCCCTGAGAGAACTTAACTTGCAAAATGGCTTTTACACAGTTGTTCCAGAAGCAGAAATGTGAACTGTTAGTATATACTTTTTTGATAGACCGGCATTCCAACACTATTTACATTATACCATATTCATTCTCTTTGCTAATTTTACAAATGGCTATAATTAAGTCAGAGTGAAGGCTAGAGTTATGGGTCTTGGACAGTGACCAACAATTAACACAATTCGTACATGTGTGAAGTTTATGGTGAATAATTTCAGTACTTAACGAGATAACATGTTTTTGATAATAAGGATATAACGGAGAATTAATATTTACAAATGTATAACTGCTAACAACAAAGACATTCTATAAAGGAATAACAAACCACTTGTGAAAAAGTCAATTTTTTTTAATTCTTTAACTGTTGTATATTTGTAAGAATTTTGTTCACTAAATACATACTTTCCATATTCAACATCTGACATCAATTTTCTATGCCAAAACAGCATCTGACATAATCTTTTTGTGCTTAACAACATCTGACATCAACTATTCTTTGTCATTATAGCATCTGTTATCATCTTTGACAAAAATAGCATCTGACATCATTTTTCTATGCTAAAAATAGATTCTTACATTATTTTGACACAAAAATAGCATCTGCCATTGACAGTAAACTTTCTATGCCAAAAAACATACGGTGCCAAAAATTTACATCTGACATAAAACTTAAGATGCACAAAAAAACAACATTTAACATAAAAATGAGATTCCATTATTTTGTCCAGTTTCATGACACAATACATGTTAACAATACTCATATGGTACTATAAAACGAAAATTAAAGAACTCGTTTAACAAAATGTATTCAATTGGAGGAAGTCCTTTCGCTACATGGTTACTAAATATAAGTATATCTAATCATTAATAGTGTATTAGAGACAGGGTGTTTGAAAGTTATACATCCAATTTATATCAATGAGAAAAAGTCTTATGAAAAAAATTGTATTCTATATCAATATCATATGATATGTGAAGGTAAAAAAACAATTTTAATATCAGCAAAGTTCATGGTAAATTAAAAGTAAATAATAAATAAGCTTTTAAAGCATAAATTTTCTAAATGTAGCACTTGTGTATTTTATTCAAGCATATTTTGAATTTCATTTTAAATTATGTATATACAAGAACTATGATAAAACATGAACATGTAAAATATTTCAACAAAATGTATTGTTCTACAATAGCACATTTAAACAAGACTACAATCTATTAGTATCCTAAAATATGGCTACCAGTTACATGTCACAGACTGTGTCCCATGAAGTACACAATTGTTATGTATATTTTATATTCAAAATCTGAACCAATCCATATTCCTAATTAATCACTAAATATCAACTAATTTCAGATAATATCCAAATGAAACTGAAGCTGCCCTGGAGTTCTTCTTTCGATAGGTTTCCGATTACCTATCTTTAGTATATTTTTGTCATGTGACACTGTGATGTCATTAATTGAAAAAAAAAAACACTCAATACCTGCCTCATTAGGATCTATAATCCCTAAAATACAATTTTTTTCCATCCCTCAGTCAAACAGTTTACTTGTTAAGGAAAACATGTCATGTAACAACTTGCATAACGTAAGACAAATTCTATTGATTTGTCATAATTTGTGATCATGATTATTTGTCAGAAATTTGTCATCCTGTTCATTTGTCAGAAATTTCTCATCATATTGATTTGTCAAGAATTTGTCATTATGTTTATTTTGTCAGAAATTTGAGGTTTACAAATATAAGATTACTCATTCACCCTCACAAAATATCAGATCTGTTCCATACATGTAGATAACACTACCATATAAAATAGAAACAACAAATGTATGAAGGAATGCTACGAAAATAAATACAAATGCTAAAATGTTGGTTTTTTTTTTTCGATTTCTCGCAAATACGGGAGATATTGGGCAAGAAAGTCTCTGAACATAAAAATAAATTTGGAATAAATAAGAAAAATAAACAACAAACCTATCCTGGGACTCCGTTGTCATAAATAAATATGGAAAAACATACACCTTAATCATTCTTAAGCGTTTATTGATTAATTCTGACACAATGATGTCAACATAAATTTTTTCAAGGGTTCAGGAATAACCCAGTTAACCTTTACAGCATTTTAAACATAATCCTTAAGACTTTAGAAATAGACATACTTTAGAAATAGACATACCTCCATATAAAACACGTAATTAAAGTTTTGATTTTCAAAAAATAATCAGCAACAACAATAGGAATATACGTTAATAACAAATATATAATATAGACAATACAATTCTCTTATACTGAAAAATTTGTTTTGTTTTATTGGTTTGATTGCTTAACCAAACTGACAGTTGACAGCAAAACTGTAGTTGCGGCGACAGCAAAACTGTAGTAATTTACATGAAATAAAGAAGGCCTTACAACTGTTTTGTTGTCAACCCTAGAAATAAACTAGGTAAAAAGTAATTTCTCATCTCTTATATTATAACCTATTGAGGCTGATTTGTTCATTCAATGTATATGATTTGTGTGGCAAGGTATAAAAATTTAAAAAAAACATGGTACTTATATTGTTTGTTCATATTTTTGTACATTTTGCCTTTACAAGTGGCAAGGTATACTTACTCAAACCACACATTATTATGCGACGGATGGCAAATTATCAAAAACAAATATTAAATGTCAAAAACTTTGGCATTTGATTTTGGACAGTAATTCTTATAGTCTTAAAATGCTTGTTTTAAAATGATTAAATCATTCTTTATATATATTCTATATTAAACAAATGACTTGTTACTGACAAGTCTGGTGAAAAATATCAAACAAAATTTCAATAAAAAGTGAAAATGATGAAAAATTTTAATCATAAACTTAGTAATAAGGTTTGACATAACAATAGACAGCTACAACTAAAATGGCTACTACTGAATAAACATACAAAACATAGGTTGAAGCAATACTGGTTTAACACATAATAATACATTAAAGAAATGCTAGTAGACAACAGACTGAAAAGGAAAAATTGTCTTAACTATTCTAAGGCATTTAATTAACTTTCCGTTCAGTTTTAAATTACAACTGCAGGACATCCAAGAATTAATTTAATTATGAAGAAAGCAAGATTTACTTCTTAGAATTTACAAAGTGTAAGTGTGCATCCCATACTTTCTTTTAGAAGTTGGCAAAAACTTTCAATGCTACAAAAGAAATATGTTGGAACATATTTAACTTATTATCAATAAAACAAAGTCAAACTTTAAGCTTAAGAACATACATCTCTTACTCTCAAACAAGAAAACCACATGCCGTGTTAACACTCATCTGTTAAAAATTCTAAGTTAAAAAGGGACATACCACCAAAATTAAACACTGATTTTTTTTAGAATTATGCCCCTTGTTTAACAAGATAAGCAAGTATTCTAAGTTTCATTGTTGATTACTTTTGAAATGTTTGAATAATGGGCTACAGTAAACATTTTGCATGATTATAACTAGACAACAATGATAGTAGCTGGACTATTTCTTCAAAACAGATGCGCTAAACATTACATCTTTTTCAGTTAATTAAAAAGAAAACATCAACAATATGATATCATGTATTTAACACATGTACACCTAGCCAAAGACATCCATCAAATGACATATTATATTTAGACACAAGCTTGTTTCGTTATGATGTTAAAATGATATTATTGCCAATTATAATAGTAATACAACACTAACAAAATCTTTGAGCTATTATTTGGCAGTCAACTGTCCAACATAGTCACTAAAATTGAAGTACAAAATTTATCATTCACACACATATCCCTTAAAAGGAGCTCCACCAAGGTCCGAAAGTCTAAAAACATAAAATTTTTACATGGTTCAACTGGTGCAAATAATATGGAAAATATGCAGAAGACAATAAAAATTATAATAAACAAATTAATGTTTTATGCCATATATGGCTTTGAATTAAAAGCATTGTTATTCTTTTCTTTTTGTCATTTAGGACAATTTAAATTATTTTTATAAAAAAAGGCGGAATAATCAAATGATCTGAAATATTTTTGCACAAGCTTTAGGTCCAGACCTATATCTAATAGTACACAAATCTCGGAAATAATTAACTCAGTTTCATCATGTAAAAATGAAAACCACAGTGGAGTCCCTTTAACATTATTGAAACAAGCCTTTCTTCATGCTACACTAAATCTATTTACAATTTTTCTTAATGTTCGCACCTGATACCTATATAAGAAACAAGGATAGCTTCACACTTGTGTTATAATCTAATGTCTATATACTTGTTGGCATTTTAAAAGCAAAATGTATCAAAAACTTCAATAAACTGTAAACTAACCATAAATGACTATCAAATTAAACTAAGTGCACAGACACTTGTAATCTCTATATAAAGTAAAAATCTTATGAATGACCATGATTAATGCAGGGATGTCATAAATTTTTGTGTCAACATCAAATATAGAAATTTGTTTATACCAATAAAAATATTTCTAAATAGCCTATGAAAAAATAGGACTTACAAAATTGACCACAAAATATTAAGTTTTTTTTGTAAAATAAATATTTTTGTTTGTTCATCAACATGATCCAACCTTACTTAAGGTATATAACAATATCAATCCCCAATAAAGTCTCAAGTCATAAGTATCAAACATTGTGCAATATTTTAAATCCTAAAAGACACTGTGTATTGTCTAAAATCCTATATGAAAATATGGTATCATTTTTACAAAAATTAATAATCCATTCCAAAAATATACAAACTTTCAATAACAAATAAGAATAAAGCCTTACTAACAGCTCGTATTATGTGAAAAAAAAAAATAGTCCTGTATGTTAAATTACTCTGGCCAGTCCCACACTTCGGGCTCGAACGATTCATAAGCTGTTGAGTACATCTGATCCCATATATGAGCTTTTTTATCCTCCGGTTCCGGGTACAATGAGGCGAGTTCTTTTTCGTAAACATACTCTCCGAGTTCTGTTGCTATCTTATGAGAGACCTCTTGGATTTGGCTCAGTGGTGGGTAAACACGACCTTCTGCAAGATGTTGATCTGTTACAAGGCTTGCACATGTCTGTAAGGGACAAAATAGAAATTATTTTCATTGTTTGATTTGAAAAATTAAAATGCAGTAATGTCACTCATTAGAACTTACTAAGATTTATGTTTTACAGTTATACAGTAAACTTCACTTATAGCGAACACGGTTATAGCGAACTTCCGGTTATAGGGAACAATTTATTTTGGCCCGAATTTTGCCCTTCTTTTTTAATATAAAAATATATGGTTATAGCGAACACGGTTATAAGGAATTATCGCTTATAAGGAACTCATTTCTAAGTCCCAATTTAGTTAATACTACAGAAAATTACACTTTTATAACGAACTCCAAAATATTGGCTATTCGTAAATAGATCCCGCATTTTCAACTTTCGTTTTCATTCGCACGGATGAAAACTCGGGCGAATGTATGTACTTCAATACATCTATTCAAATGAATTTGTATAGTTTTCTATTTAGGATATGTTTAGCATGAGCTCTTTTCACCAAGATAAAACGGTTATTTATTTATTTTCTTCAATAGTTTTGCTCGAGTAAAATAATTAAAATAATTTATAATCGGTTTTCAACATAATCATGCATGCTTGCAAGCATGATCCATTGCAAACTGCAAAGTACGCTTGATTTAACTGAAAAGAAATCTATATCTTACATTAGTAAAAGTCACCCTTAAATTATAATAGAAGATATTCAATATTAAAGGAAGGAAAAATCGAAAATCTTGTTTATTCGAAAACGAAAAGAGTTTAGAAACAAAATATAATAATTATATTTTATGTGAAATTGAGATAGGGAGTAAAACTAAAACTGAAATAGCAATGATTTTCAAATTCCAAAAAGTACGCTCTCGGGTATTGTGTCTAAAATATAAATAAATGACTAATATTTCTATTTCTTAATCAAATGGCGGACAATGATAAACAATCAGTTCGTTATATGTAAATCTATTCGCTATAAAAACTCCTGATACAAGGAACTTATTCTCTATATGCTTACAAGGAACACCGGATATAAGGAACAGGTTTTGAATGTCCCAGTGAGTTCGTTATAAGCGGAGTTTACTGTACACAGTTAATTCTTTCAACAATCATTCAACTTGATGCATAGCCATACAATTTTCTTCTTATATTTAAAGATTCAAATCGTGGTCATAATTCAAATGGCATTAGGCCTATCCAATACAAGAGCAATCAGTGATCAGGTGTCGCCTCAGTATAACCAATTGCATGTTGCAGATTAAGAGTAGCAGGAGACACAAAAATAATGAACTGCAAAAAGTGTTTTTATTCAAGGGCAATAACTCAGCCAAAAATCCTTCAAACGAAAACCCATGTAATATGTGCAAGTACTTGAGCTACAGATCAATCGTGTAAAGTTTCAAAGAATATTTAAGAAAAGAACTGTTAAACGGAGAACACTGACTTTGACCACCATCTACAGTACCGTATAAGTGGTTTTTTCTGCGGGCTCCAAATTCTGCGGTTTTTCAAAATTTTGGCATGTTTTTATTTCTGCGAACTTTATTTCTGCGGCACATCGTTTGGACCAAACGTGATTTAAATTCAAAAACAAAAATATGGAGAAATATTCTGCGGTTTTTATTTCTGCGGTTCTAATACTGACCGCAGAAAACGCAGAAATAAAGTCACCGCAGAAAAAACCACTTATACGGTATAACTGATTACAAAATGTACTGAATATATCATACCTGTGCAGCTTTCAAGAAGATAGATTCTGGAATATGCCTAACTTGGAAGGCTATTAGACCTAGTGCAACCCCTGGGAAGATGTACGCATTGTTACCCTGACCAGGGTAAAACTTTTGTCCATTCACTGTGACTGGGTCAAATGGACTGCCACTTGCAAACACACAACGTCCCTGTGAGGAAATAGATTTGTAATAAATATAATGAACTGCATATCAATACTAAATAAATGCTTTGAGAAAGTTTCTTTTTCTGTCAAGCAAATTAAAACATTCGTCAATTTTGAATCACTGGAAACATATTTTAAGTGTTAAAATATATCTCATATGAGAAAGATATCTTCATAATAGAAGTTACAATTACTGGCAGCAAACTATTACAAGGATACAGAATAGGAACAACAACTTTTCATAAACCTTTGAAAACTAAAAAGTTCTAGGACATAACCAGAGACTGAATATACATGTATTTTCAGAGCATCACCACTTGGAAGACACGTATAGCTCCTAAATTCTACTAGCAGACGACATTTTCTTTACTATCCATGCTGCAAATTCTACTAGTAAATATGAGTGAATGTTTGAAATTTTCCACATATTGGCACAATGACAATTATTGATTTTTTTTTAAAAAATTTAGCTGATATTCACTGATCAAAGTGTCAGAGATTTAAGGAGACGAGTTAATACATACCTCAGTGATATTGTAAGCCTCTTCCGCTGTACATTCTGCCATACTTGTTGGATTAGAGAGAGCAAAGATGATTGGTCTCTCATTAAACGATGCCATGTCTCGCAGAATAGTCTCTGTAAATGCTCCAGGCACGGCAGCTGCACCTGTAATAAATAGCACAAATCATCAATGAATTGTTACATAACTGAATAATGGATTATGATTGAATTGCAATATAATTGAAAAATAAGAAATCACATGATTGAAGTGTTCACAGATGCCCCAACATCTCACACTATTGGTAGTCTACAGACATGCCAGTGTGACATATTTACAAGGTAAAATCTACAGTTAGTGGGTGCACTCTGAATGCCGTACCAGTACTAGTTGTTCCTGCAACTGATCTCATAAATGATAAAATTAACTCTTGACTTGCTGAAAACCAGAAATAGGCTTTCCCAGCAGTATAGAGCTCAGCAAACCTTCACATCTGTGCAAGCTAACCAAGCTTGATCCTGTCAGTTCCTCAATATTTAAGTCTGTGTATTAAAATCCCTTAATTTTCAAGTAACTCAATTCAAAGAAGGACAAACCATTCCACAAATCCAGCAAGTAAAGGGTTGTATACCTATTAATGCTGTTGGTTTAATCTCCTTGACAACATCTTCTAGTTTATCTATTGGTTTAAAATCCTTGGCGAAATCTTTCTTATGACCCGAAACTCCTCCCTTTGGCCTGTTGTTAACAATAAGACCTTTGGAATCAACCATCCAAATCTTGCTGCGGGCCTCCTCTATTGGTGTACCTTCTGCTTCCATAGCCAATGAGATCAAGTTGGCAATACCAATATTGGCCTGTAGGTTAAAAATATAATATATTCCTTAAGTATCTTGTGATGAAAACAATGAATAATCATATCTCAAATAAACAAAGATCAAACAAAAATTTAATGATCCCATCAAAATATTCCAACAGCTATTCTAACTGTAAGCCAGTTATGGGCAATTGAATATAACCATGAAACCGGTGAACTTTAAGATCAGCTGGCACAATCATGCCCTCTGATCATTGTTTTTGTTTTTTCAGTTAGTACATATTTCAAAAATTTCTCCTTTAATTAAGTAATGGTTTTGTCCAGTTTGAAAGATGGACAAGTCCATTTAACATATTTATCGTAGTGAGGGTTAAATGAATTTTGCCACTTGCTTTCAAATGCATTTATAACATCATTCTGACAGTTATGACTAGTTTATACTAATTAACTTAAGTTCAGCTGAGTTGAAAGCTATATTCATCTTCCTATATAAACCACTATTACCCTGATTTCATGTACCCAAACACAGTTGCACCCTTTAACTTTTACATGTCCAAAACAAGGATCACAAAATTACTAATAGTATAAATTATTATTGTATTTCAACAACTTACTTCGCCAGCTCCCTGCATGACAAACACATTGTCTGACAGTTTCTTGCCAGTGATTCTCAAAGAAGCAAAAATACCAGCTGCTGCAACAGAGGCTGTGCCTGTAAGAAAAAAAAGTCACTCTAATAGCCTGCAACAACTATTTTCAATGTTTTTCTTCATTTTTTTCTCTTCCAAGCAGCATTGTAGGGAGAAGATAATAAAAAGTCCTTCTATGGTGTTAACCACTGTTTTTTTCAGCCCAGCTGAATAAAGTATTACACAAAGTGCAATGGCATGCCAATAAATATTTGATGGATCCATTTTTCAAAATAGACAGTTTGTTTGGAATCTACATGTACAAGCAATCTTCACAGTATTTTAGACATTTATCTTCAGACAGTCAATCATAGTTACATTTTCAATGTTGTTTGTTTGTTTGATTGGGTTTTAGGTCACACCGACACAGTATAGGTCATATGGGGACGTTCCAGCTTTACTGGTGGAGGAAGATCTCAGGCGCCCTTCCGTACATTATTTCTGGCACGAACAGACACCTGAGTAGAACCACCGATGTTCCTTAAACTAGCTAGATAGCTTCCTCACATGAAAGAATCCAAATTTCCTGTCGGGATTCGACCCACTGCGGTGAAGGGCAAGACTTTAGTGGTTTGAAGTCAACGACCGTAACCACTCGGTCACGGACGCCCCATCATTTTCAATGTAAAATTAAGAATGTCTTCAAGCAATCATCAGGGGTGAATGTTCTGCATTATACATTGTGAAGATTGAGTGTAAAAGAAGCCTGTCAAGTTAATTTCATGTCTAAAATTGTGAATATTCATACAATAATTTAAGTGACTATAATAACAATGACTATGGCAAAACCATGACATCTTTACCCCTTTTTGACCAATGAATCATATTTCAATACTTCCTGAATGAAACAGACTATCCTAATGTGTAAGATTTTATGCTCCAGAATAAATATTTAGTCACGTTTGAGGCTATTAGTGGTAACCCTGAGTATGTAATCGTCACAACACATACCTTGAATATCGTCATTGAACACACAGTATTTATGTCTGTACTTTTCCAACAGAGTGAATGCATTGTTGTTACCAAAGTCTTCAAACTGTATCAGAGTTGTCTGCCCATATCTGTCAACAAATAATCCATTTATAACTTCTGCTATGGAAAGTAGAATTAAATAATTAACAAGATAATTTGATCTTAAAATCAGCATTAATGTTGAAAACTGTAAAGTACATGTATATACAAAAGGAAGGCATTCCATATTACAGGAATCTTACACTAGCTGAAGGCACAAACCAGAGTAATTAACTTGAGGGTAACTGTTACAGGTGGTTCTGCCATGTTTCTACTGTACAGTTACCCAAAAGCTAGATATTCGTATCTGTGGCCTCAGGAAGTGTTAAGATTCCTTTCCTTACACAGAACAAATTAATCATAGATATTCAAGAATATCAATAACTTATATTCATTTTTCACGACATTCTTATAGTGGTGAACACACTCAAACTTTTATTAATTCAGCAGAATGACATTATCCAAGCATATGACACATTCACAGAATGACATCATTTAATCATGCGACCGCAGGGCGACCAATCTTACACCTAGAGCCTTGTAAGATGATATTTTCCAGCATTGGTGCAAACACTAGAAAATCAAGTATGATATGCAAGAAACAGGTCTAATTCCTTGTTTATATATCCGTGAATTATGTATCTAATTTCTTGTTTATATATCTGGGAATAATGTAAAGAACTAAGCTACATGGAAATTATGTAATAAAAATATCAAATAACTATTTGCCACCTTAGTGCAGTAACAGGTTAACACCTATCAAATTAAATAGGGAGTTAACTCATTACTGCACTAATGGTGATGCATTAGTATACATACTTAATGTACACAAGAGTTTACTCTTCAGGGATTTTATTCATGTATATCCCAAGTGTAAAGTAAGATGCTGTTAATAATTGATAAATATACTTATATAATATGCCTATAACTTGAAGGCAGAGATAACTTGTCATATAATAATGTACAAGTTGACTTTCTATTTATAGTAACAAACGAAAACCAACTTATTGAGTAGCTGATAAGATATTGCAATAAGTAAAATTGCTTTTCTGGGCTATTCTACGTAACTGTTTTTCTAGCACTACCCTTTATATTGGTGCAAGAACTGTCAAAGCAAAAATCAATCAGTCATTAGTAATAAGTTAAGAAAAAAGTAACACCGAAGTTTTTAGGTTTTATGTAGGGTACCAAGACGATACCTTCTAACAACCGCTTCGACGAATTCATCAATGAATTCATCATATTCTTCTCCAGTTACACGAGGCTTTTGTCTTCCGATGTAAAGGCTGTCTTCCAATAAAGTCTGCAAGAGGTGTCTTGTTAGCCAACAAATCATACATATAATAATCTCAAATACAAAGACATTTTTCTACTCTTAACTTGTAAAAAGCTTCATTAGGAACCCATCGTACAAATGTGAACCATCATCAGGAAAAGATGCCAGGAGTGTTTAGGTCGCAAATTTTTTTTACTGTGCTTTCTAAATTTCCACTGATCTCCTAAATGATAAATGAATATTACCCTTGACACTGTTGTATTGCCTCTAAAGTAAAATACAAGAGCTGTCCGTAAGACAGCGCGCTCGACTTTTTTTATTGCTTGCCAATAAAAAAAGTTTTTGCAGTAAAAGGCAATACAAGAATCTCTGTATTTTTAAAGTGAACAATGGCCATGAGCATTAAGATATTTAGTGAAGAATTATTTTACTGAATTGTGTGATACCCTTGAACACTGCAGCAAAGTTTGAAATGTTTAAGTCAAAAGAGGGCTGGTAAGAAAGAAAAAAAAACTGAGTTGAGCCTTAAATAAATTTAATAGTATTATACTACTGATTTTAATTTCAAGTACAAAAAGAGAAAAATAACTAGTTGTTTGATACCCTTGAATATTACAGCAATGTTTATATGACATAATTTATGGTAAAGTGAACAAGTGGATAGGAATGAATTTTTTTAGATTTTTTAAGTTTTTTAGTGCTTGCCTATAATACAAAACATTGACAGTTAAGGGCCATAATTCAAATAAAATCTTTGACAGAATTACCTTCTCCTGGACATGTTTGGGAATCATGATTGTAAACAAGTATTCCAACTTTCAAATTAATATCTCAAACAGTTCAGTCAAAAAGTGGACTGGTACTAAAAACTTAACCAAGATTCTAAGTCGATAAAAGGCCTTAATTTTTAAAACAAATCCTTGACAGAGTTACCTTCTCTTGCGTACAGATGGGGGTAATGATGTGAAATAGCATTAAAAGTTTCAAAGCAATATCTCAAAGGGTTAAGGCAATAAGTGGATTTTACCCATATTCAATGTATTTTCTAAGTCAAAAAGGGGCATAATTCTGTCAAAAACCTTGACAGAGTTATGTCCTCTTGTCTGTTGATGAAGGTCGTGATGGTAAACAAGTATGGTCAGTTTCAAAGCAATACCTCCAATGGTTTTGAAATAAAGTGAGGTGGTACAAAAAAACTTAACCAAGCTCAATACACTTTCTAAGTCAAAAAAGGGCCATAATTCTGTCAAAAACCTTGACAGAGTTATGTACTCTTGTCTGTAGATGGAGGTTATGATGGTGAACAAGTATGGTAAGTTTCAAAGCCATACTTGTAATACTTCTGAAATAAAGTGGGGTGGTACGAAAAACTTAACCAAGGTGTGACGCCAACGCTAACGCCGACGCCGACGCCGGGGCGAGTAGGATAGCTCCCCTTTTCATAGAAAAGTCGAGCTAAAAATGAATACTACAATGTATGTATAATATAAACAAATATTATGAGAATAAACTATTTTTTGTAACTGTTATGATTGCAATGCTTTTTCTTTTACAAAGCACGCACACAGCTGGCATCTTTTTAACATTAGGTAATTTATGTTAATAAGCCATTCACAGGATGGCTATCCTTTCATTAATTAAACCCATGCTCCTTTTAAATTGTCATTTATAATGCTTAACCCTGTTTCTTTTCCATGATTTTATAGCCTTATCAAATTTCAAGTCAAAATAACAATATTTAAATTACTTAAAACAGAATCAGCAGACAAGCAAATGAATCCAAAGTCTGGTGAAGAACTCAAAGAATGGACAGAAGCAAAATGAGAAATAAAAAGGCAAAGTAGCAATAAGATCTGCTATTCTTCCTTTTTTTGATACAAAATTCTGAGAAAAATTCAGATATGCAGAAAAATTTGTTATAAAAGTTAAAAAAGCATATTGATCTTAAGAGCTGAAAAAAAAAAAACAACAAAAATCCTTATCAATTACATTTTTCTATCATAATTATTCAATAAAACATGCATTTAGAGTATGTTTTAACTGATAACTCAAACTGGTCAAAATAATGAACATATTCTATTAAAATAAACCCACCTTATTATTGGTTCCTACATCCAACATGACTGGTAGCGTCTGAATTGGTGGTATACCACCGAGAGCTGTGTACAGGGACAACTTTCCTACTGGGATACCCATTCCATTCACACCTAAATCTCCAAGTCCTAGAATTCTTTCTCCATCTGTTACAACAATTGCCTGAAGTCACACGAGAAAATGTTTATTTTGTTGGATTTAAACTTTCGAATAATCAGTAGTGTTTCGAATATTCAAATATAATTCCCAGCCCTAATTTAAAGTAACACTGTCACGGTTAAGGTGACTTTCTAGCTTTACTGGTGGAGGAAAACCTCAGGTGCCCTTCCCTGTATTATTTCAGGCACACCACCATCCATCCGTAAGCTAGCTGGAAAGCTTCCTCTAAAGAAAGAATCATAAATCTTTGACCAGATTCAAACCAACAGTGGTGAGAGGCAAGCTATTTGAAGTCGGCAACCTTAGTCACTCAGCCATAGAGGCATGAGAATAAGGTACATCTGGCATGAACTAGGACGTTACTATAAGTGTCAAAGCTTAATCGGCTCTATTTCTCACTTGGTCAAACAAAATGTAATATTTCAAAGGTCAAAATCAATTTTTTTCCTTTATTTTTCTTTCATTAAACAGAGGGCCAATTTCCTCTAATTCTAATGATATTAATGAATCTTTTTTTTTCTTTGCCATTATATGGCCCTTAAACTTAACTATTGCTGGGGATGGCAGACAGGCAGTCTGAAAGAAATTAAATCAAGGAAAGAAATTGTTGACGCTGAGCTTTCTGTGGGCTGAAATTCATCATCTTTCCTGGAAAACTTGGTTAAGCATCTTATAATGTACATTATCACAATAAAAAGAAGCATTTATATATAGATACATTAACATATTTACCTTGACATTGTTCTCTGGCCAGTTACAAATCATTTCATATAAATGTCCCTTGTCATTTATGGAGAGAAACAACCCTCTGTAAAACAAGATTATTAAATTATTTTATCTTAAGATGCTTTACCCAAACATTAGCCTACATGTACATAAAAATTATGTAAATATATACATATGTATGTACCATATCATTTTATAAGAAAAATACTTAAATTGTTTTTTTAAAATGCCACAGACAAATTAATTTCAGAATGGAAATTGTCTCCTTCTATATCAAGAACTTCTATTGACCTCAAGACTGCTAGCAGTAACAGAATCTAAATACCTGACAATTTATACAAAAGCATATTTCAAGTGAATTATATCACAGTTTTTATTCTGTGACTAGAACTTGCATTTTCAGAGCCAAATGGACCTAATGCAACTTTTACAGCCAGTTTACCAATATGTCATTAATGTAATGGCAAGCAATTACCTTATAAAGTTTACAAATTTCAGTACTTAAAACTGCGAACACCTAAACATAAGCTATATAAAACAGCAAGTGAAGGATGCTTGACATTAGACATATTGTGACTTATGTCAAATTGTAACAGTCAGATAAAAGTCATCCAAGAGACACAAACATGTAATGGCAATCAGTGTGAATTGTGTAATAACTGAGCAGATTATTTTGTTTGTTTTGTTTGATTTTTAGTCTCAATGTCACTGTAAACTTCATACCACAACTTTCTAGTTTTACTGGTGGAAGGAGACCTCAGGTGCCTATTCCTGCATTATGTCACGCAGTCGACCAGACACCCAAGTAGAACCACCAATCTTTTGTAAGCAATCTAGATACCATTTTCACAGAATCCCTGATGGTATTCAAACCCACAGTGGTCATAAGGGCAAGTGATTTGAAGTTGGAGGCTTCAGCAACCTGGCCATGGAGGCCCCAATCAGAATCTATGGCCATTAAGACATTTTACAATTCATATATTCACAAAAACAAAACAACGTTTTTTGTTTTCATACAAACCTTGGTCTTCTGTATATAAGACCATACTGCTGACACACCTGCCCGACTGTTGGCGTATAAACAATGGGCATCATTTCTTCTACATGTTCACAAAGTGACCGGTAGAACAAGCGCTCATTCCTGTCATACAAAGCCATCAAATAGATGTACTTATCAACATCAGTGGGGCGTTTTCGAAAGTTCTCTATGACACGTTCAAGTTGCCTTTCTTGATTGATGACAATTGGTGGTAGGAGGCCATGTATACCCATCAACTGACGCTCACGCAGAGTAAAAGCCTGGCCCTATATAATCAAATAAATATACATGTACTCTGACATTGATATTTTTCTTTCTTATAATTGGTAAATGTTATACCAATGTCTTATTCTTCACATTTGAAGAAGTGTTCTTTTAACATGTACAAGTTGATGAACATTTTTTTCATAATCATAAATCTACTCATAACGACATTTTAGGACAATTCTTGCTTTCATTTACAGGCAATGCATTTTATTTTCAGCCTGCTTCTATAAAACATATCCACATATCCCCAATAAACCCATAATTTATTTGTACAAACACTCAAATGTACATGTACCGGTATGTACATTTATTTTGCTGAGTTAGCACATTGAGATCACATTTCCTTAACCTGATTTAAGGCACACTCAGATTGTCAAATAAAAGTGCCATTCTATTCATATATACTATATACTATATTCTTGTCTAACTAATGTTTGATTTACATTTTGATTAATTCAAGATACTGAATTCATTAACTGCATTTTACGTACAATGTACAGTAACATTTTGATGAGACGTTAGATTGTTTTCTGAACTGTATGTGCTACATTAATTGTCCACACCATTTTATATATATATACATTGTATTTATTTTAACCATAAAAGTATGTGTTCAATACTGTTTCATACTAAGTATAAAAGAAATGCAATTTATTTAAACTGATGTTATTTATCTAGTGTTTTGTACTATTTCCAAAAAAGATACAGCTTCCCTTTTTCCATCATACATTCTTTTTATATTATATGTTATTTTGGTTTATGAGTGATATATGTGGATATATTACCTGCCAAGATTTTATATCACCCGAGCCGTAAGGCGAGGGTGATATTTTATCTTGGCAGGTAATATATCCACATATATCACTCCAAAATCAAAATAATAATTTTATTACCCTTCCCTTGCCAAGTTTAGACGATTTTTTAAAAAATCATTGCTGTTTCAAATGAAACGTCAAAATAAGATTCCCTTTAGGATACCCCTTCATCACAACATGACGTCACATAAATACAAGACGTATTTTTTTCAGTACCTTACGAATGTTAACAAAAGAAAAGGAGTAGTCTGTTGAACGCACTTTTTTGTAATTAAAATCAAGCTTTCATGAGGTCATCTTTGTTTTCAATACTGATGAGAATATGTATCATTACTCTATTTTGATAAATATTAATAATTTGACAGTTAAAAAGTGCTTGTATATCGGAATTTAAACCGCGTAAAATCGAACCGTACGCGCATCGCCACAGCGCATGTTGTTTACAACGTGGGGTCAACGGGGTAATTTAGTGTGTATATTACCCGTCTGGCTTGGTTATATCAATTTCTTTCGGGTGATCAATATCCAATCAAAAAGGTGGAAAAAATCTGGAAGGGTAATAAAGATCTATATCTGGCTGAAGAAAATTTTGTGCATTACTCTTGACTGACATTTATTTCAGACCTACTGTCTATCAAGGGCATAAGGAAAGAGAGCAACACTGTCAAGGTCACAAGTAAAGAGACCAACACTGTCAAGGTCATAAAGAAGGTGACCAACACTGTCAAGGTCATTAGTAAAGAGACCCACACTGTTAAGGTCATAAGTAAAGAGACCAACACTGTCAAGGTCATAAGTAAAGAGACCCAAACTGTCAAGGTCATAAGTAAAGAGACCAACACTGTCAAGGTCATAAGTAAAGAGACCGAAACTTTCAAGGTCATAAGTAAAGAGACAAACACTTGTGAATGTCATAAGTAAAGAGACAAACACTGTCAACAGCATAAGTAAAGAGACCAACTCTGTCAAGGTCATAAAAAAAGAGACCAACACTGTCAAGGTCATAAGTAAAGAGACCAACACTGTCAAAGTCAAAGGTAAAGAGACCCAAACTGTCAATGTCATAAGTAAAGAGACCTACACTTGTCATTGTCATAAAGAATGAGACCAACACCAGTCAAGGTCACAAGTAAAGAGACCAACACTGTCAAGGTCATACGTAAAGAGACCCAAGCTGCCAAGGTCATAAGTAAAGAGACCAACACTTGTCAATGTCATAAAGAAGGAGACCAACACTGTCAAGGTCACAAGTAAAGAGACCCAAACTGTCAAGGTCACAAGTAAAGAGACCAACACTGTCAAGGTCATAAGTAAAGAGCCCCAAACTGTCAAGGTCATAAGTAAAGAGACCCACACTGTCAACAGCATTAGTAAAGAGACCAACACTGTCAAAGTCACAAGAAAAGAGACCAAGTCTGTCAAGGTCATAAGTAAACAGACAAACTCAGTCAATTACACAGACAACACATGAACAAACTACCTAAAGCCAATTGGTAAAACCGGTTCAAAGTGTAGTAAATAATTTGTCTCGCTTTAAATAATGAGTGGCCGGTAAAATGAAACCTCAAGTACTGAGTTATTAAAAATCATGGACTGGAGTTATTTAATTCAAGATTACATGTGCATTGTGTTTGATTAATCATTATAATTACTAATCCTTTTTACTTGATGGATTCATTTTCATTTCTTTTAACTAACTGTACTATTTCAACCTGTATTAAAGTGCCTTTGTATCAAAAGATTTTATAAACTTTGTAAAAATTATACTTTGATCAGAAGAGCTCATGGGTGCATTTATAATAGGGAACAAACAGTGTGTATCATAGACAAAAACCAGATACAAACAGATATCATCATCAATTCATTTCCTCATTTGTTTATATTTACAGCATTATTCTTAAAATCTTACAACAGTTATCATCTAGACAATGTTGCTTTTGTAGCATGGGATAGTTGAAATATGGCAATTTGAAGCAGTACGTCCCATAAAATTTGATGCAATTCATTGTTTACTAAAATTTATCAACCCTAACTGTACATGTATGATGTAGTTTTTCTTTTTTGGTGTTATTGCTCCTTTAGCTTAATTTGCTAAGAATGCAGTTTTGCTATAGGTGCTAAGAAATTATTAAAGCTCAGTAAAAATGAAAAAAAAAGGCCATGGATGTATCTAAATCTACGCTACAGGAAACCTGCTACTTTGTCATCCAGTTATCCAAATAAGGAAATTATGTATTCGCAAATTCTCTTTAATGATATCATGGCATTTAAAAAAGTCCAAAAATACTATCACATTATTTTCAACTGGGGACACTTAAATTACCCTTATCTGACATATACAATATTACAACACCCCCTGTATTGTATCTCTAAGTCTTCAATCAATAAGCCAAAGTCATGAAATGAAATGTGTACATAATGTTCTTGTAAAAAATTACAGTTGTCATTTAAAATAAAACATGTATGACATTTCAATGGTCTGTAAGCATTGTGTATAAGGTGTAATTTGGAATAGTTAAATATCATGTTACCTTGTTTTTGTAGTACATGTACAAGTTATAAAGGTCACACTATTTATCACAAATTGTTATGTTGAAAATATATCTACTCCTGTAGTATACATTTAGCAGAACATAATTATTATACTTCCTTTTCGTTCTTTTAACAGGTAATTTAATTTAATTATTTAATCATGGCCCATATCTTTCAGAAAAAGTTTTACAATACAGCCAATCATTTTTAAATCAAGTGGAGTCTCTTGGCCCAGTACTTTTACATTCTCAGCAGGTCTCTGTTCACATATAAAATTACATTTATCCCCACAATACTTTACTCTTTAATCTGACATGATCTATATTCTCTTATTCAACACAACAGTAATTTGTGTATAAACAAATTCTATTTCTGTAAATTATTGATGACAGTGACAAAATAAACACAAGCTGTTTGCAAAACACATAAACCTCACTATATCACAGCTTGTTGGGCAGAAACTATCCATTGTAAATTTCTATGATGTAAAAAAAACATAAACTTAATATAGTGAGTATCAATATTATCTGGCAATACAAGAATGAGAAAGGTATCATTTATACCTACATGTTAATGAGTATAAAGCTCTATGTTATGAACAATTTTAATAAAATCTATAAACAGGAAATTTGTTTCCATAATTATTTCGTCAATTCTTGAACAGAATCTCTCTGTATTAAACACAAATGAATACTGTACATTTACTGCATGTACATGCAAACAGAATAAAATGTTTGGAAAAATGTTATGCTGCTATTTTTAATTTGGTTCTTTTTTACTATTTATCGATGATTATGTGCATGCACCATTCACAATTTCAGAAAGAAATAAGCAAGCATATTTACATGATACAATGTACATGGTTTTTGGAAGTATTCTTCTTAAAAATTCAAATAATTTTTCAGCAGAAATGCCAGAATATATAATAGCTTAATATACAGTGAAAGTTGAGAAAACCGGACGGCTTTCGGACTGAGGGTTTTGTTCGGTTTTCTCAGCGGTCTGGTATTCTCAATGTCCCCTTCAGCTGTTCAGGATCTTACATTTTTTGTATATCATAACCGAGCAATGACTTACAAAGGATGCTGTATATTTGCATTTTCATGATCATGTGTACATATATATTGCTAAATAAAGAAATGATAAAAATACAAGAAAATATGTTTTTATTGTTTTTGTCTCATTATTGCATATAAATACAATATTTTTTTGGATTTAAATGAACAGCAGTTACCTCATAAAGATCAAGTCCAAGTACATCTGCATATGTTTACATTTGGGTAATGGATAATGATTTAACGAACATAGTTTACTTTGTTTGTTTATAATAATGCCCCCCATTGTAAATATTGCCGATAAAATATTGGTCAGATTTTTAAAGTAGGTCTCAACAAAGTTTCACTGTCTTTAATTATTTAACTTTGTCACTTGTAGACAGCTCTCTTCGAATTCTTTTCGGCCATGGAATAGAACTTAGCGCCGATAAATGTCGTTTCCATTGCGTTGACATTTTGGGAAATGAATAGAAAAAAGGCAACACAGTAGGAAAATACTCTATTTTTTATTCATACTGATTTTAACTGATCAATTTCTTGTGCATTTTGGCATTTATATAAAACGGTAGCATCTATATCTTACAATAAATCAACCTGTGAAAAGAGACATTATAAACAAATCAGACAATCATTTTTCCGTTACCGCTCAATTAGCGTATTAGACACAACCAATTGATAAGTACACAAGGTTGTATTTGTTTTGCAAACCCGAGTGTCGAGTCGCAACACTAGGGCAAAACTAACACCGGGAACGTAACTTTTGCGTGTCAAGAACCTACTCTCCATTTGATGAGGAGTGAGCAAGAACATGACGTCAGAAAATGGCAGAAAGCAATGTGAAAGACTTTTGATATGTTATACATTATAGGTCTAGGGTTTCAAAACACTCAAAATATTTTCTGTTGCAATTTGTTTGAGGTTTGGCTGTATTTTGAGCTAGAATGACTGGACTATCAGATGATTCTTCAAAATGCTGCAAAAAAAGAAGTGCGGCGTCCATTTTGTAACCAAGAACGCTGTTCATGCTGATAGTTTTGAACAGCTAGTGCGACAATACTACGCATGCTCAGGATGCCTAAACTCTACACTCGGGTTTGCAAAACAAATACGATCCAAGATTATTCACACTTTCAGCATCCGGTATTGTCAGGATAATTGTCTATATAATTGACTTTGTAGTCCTGTATCAACTGTCTAATATTCGGTTTTTACAGATTCCGGTATTGTCAATGTTTAATACAATAGTTTAAAGAAGGGGAAATTTGGGACTGAATTATTCGTCCGGTATTTAGAAAGTCCCGATTTTCTCAGCTTCCGGTTTTCTCAAATTTCACTGTACTCGAAAGTAAATGAAAACCGAGTAGAAAAATCAAAAGCAATCTAGTACCTTATTAAGCCTAGGGTCTCGCAAGATGTCAATGCCTCTAATTTTACTGTGATTTATGAGTTCCTTTTTTGGATCAGGTAATGGTGACTTTGGCCTGCTGTTTGTTGGCTGACTGGTATGAAACAGAGAACTGCTCACAACTGGACCACATCTGTAAGAGAAAGTGATAATTTTGAAAGTTTATGATAAAATAAAACAAGATTGCATTTGAGAAAAATGCTATGCCACCGCATGGTTCAAATTTCATAGCTGTACATCAAAGGACAAGAAAGTAGGTCACATCATCAAAATCTAGGTCAAAGTTCAATTTTACAACTAAAACTGTGCACATGGTCAAAATGTCATTGCTGTACATCAAAGGACAAGAAAGTAGGTCACTGTCCCCTTGAGCAAGGCATAATTTTGACCCAAGGGTTTAATAACAATCTTGATACAGGTCCACCAAACAACATTTCAAGTCAGTTATCTAAGCTAAAGCTTTCTCCCATTCAGAAGACATTTGTTTTATTTTCTGTTTTACTACGTGTACATAATGAGAATCACTGCCCCCGGGCAGGGCCAATTTTTGACATTTGAACAACTTTGGTAGAGGACCTATAGATGATATTATAAATTTTTTTTTTCCACTATATGTACATAATGAAAATCAATGACCCCCGGGGCGGAACCAATTTTGACCCCAGGACTATAATTTGAACAATCTTGCTAGAGGTTCACTACACAATGTTTCATGCAAAATATCTTAACTCTATCCTTTGTAAATTTAGAGAAAATAATTTTTTAAGTTTTAACTATATACATATAAGATAAACCTATGGCTCCCAAGGGCAGGGCTAATTTGGACACAAGAGGCAAAATTCGAACAACTTTGGGAGAGTACCTTTAGATGATATTATTTAACAAATATTAAAGTTCTAAGCCTTGTACCTTCAGCTAATGACATTTTTTTATTTTTTACTATATGTATATATTGAAATCAATGACCCCCAGGGCGGGGGCAATTTTGACCCCAGGGCTATAATTTGAACAATCTTGCTAGAGGTTTACAACACAATGTTTCATGCAAAATATCTAACCTCTAGCATTTGTCAATTGCTAGAAGAATTTTTTTAAAAAGTTTTTACTATATATACATATAAGGAAAACCAATGACCCCTGGGGCGGGGCCGATTTTGACCCCAGGGCTATAATTTGAACAATCTGGGTAGAGGTCTACCAGACAATGCCTTATGCAAAATATCTAAGCTCTAGGCCTTTTGGGTCTTTACAAGAAGGTGTTTTAAGTTTTTACTATATGTACATATAGCGAAAATCAATGACCCCGGGGTGGGGCCGATATTGATCCAAGGGCTATAATTTGAACAATCTAGGTAAGGGTCTACCAGATGATGCCTTATGCAAAATATCTAAGCTCTGGGCCTTTTGGGTTTTTACAAGAAGGTATTTTAAGTTTTTACTATATGTACATAGTGAAAATCAATGACCCCCGGGGCGGGGCCAATTTTGACCCAAGGGCTATAATTTGAACAATCTTGTTAGAGGTCTACCAGACAATGCCTTATGCAAAATATCTAAGCTCTAGGCCTTTTGGGTCTTTACAAGAAGATTTTTTAAATTTATTCTAATAATTCCTTTTGGTTGCCATGGCAACCAGATTTCTGCATGGAATGAAATTCTTTGAACAACTTTGGAAGCCCTTCACCCAAGGAACAATTAATCCTGCCAAGTTTGGTTGAAATTGGACTAGTGGTTTTTCACAAGAAGATTTTTTAAGTTCACTATATAATCTATATAACACACACACAAACACACACACGCATACATACACACAGGTGAATCGCTATATGCCACCGCATCGCAGATGCTGCGGTGGCATAAAAACTCTACACATTTTTATTGCATTTTAAGAGGAACAAGAATGTGTTTGTTAAACACAAATGCCCCCGGCTCAGATTCTTGTCAGTAGCAATATTTCAAAAAATGTTTACCCATTCACTCAGTTATGGACAGAAAAATTGCCAAAAAATTGTAAACACAAGTTATATAGCTTGACAAAGTCATGGCATTTTGTAATTGTGAAAAATATAAGTTGCCAAGTCATTGCTCTGACTTGTGAAGTTGAAAAATATTCAACTTCATGCAAGTTATCTTCCTACTAAATATGAAATACATCTGTCATTAAATAAAGGCTGTATGGGCAAAAGTGTAAAAATCTATTTTGAGCACTGGTGACCTTGACCCAACTGACCCCTTTCTCCATCCAAAGGAAGAATACCATGCAAGTTATCTTCCTACATCTGTCAACAAATAAAAGCTGTATGGGCAAAAGTGTAAAAATCTATTTTTAGCACAAGTGACCTTGACCCACTGATCCCTACCCCAATCAAAAGGATGAATACCATGCAAGTTATCTTCCTATTAAATATAAAATATATCTGTCACTTAATAAAGGCTGTATGAGCAAACGTGTAAAAATCTTCACCTTGACCCAACTGACCACTAACTCCATCAAATTTTATGTTTCTATCAATTTTAAATTACATCTGTCTATAGAATAAGGTTAATACACCTGTAAAAATGTAAAAATCTACTTTTAACATTGGTGACCATGACATTGGTAACATTGACCTTTACCCAAATGACCCCTAACTACACCCAAAGAAGGAGGACCTCCCTTGGCATGTTTGTATTAAACTAAGACATCAACTAAAAAATAAAGGCTGTATGAGCAAAAATGTTTATATAAATTTTTTAAACCAGTGACCTTGACCTTTACCCTAGAGACCGCTTACTCCACAAAAAATTAGAGGACCATCAAAGGTATCCACCTACTAAATATTATATGAAAGATATCATTAAAGAAATTAAGCAATTAGGAGAAATTTAAGATAAATCCAACTTGCCGAAATAGGTTAACCAGACAAGGCCCTATTTTCAAAGTGAAAAAAGGGAAATAACTGGGGAATATGGATGACACAGTTATATTACTTGGCAATATCATGTACTTTGTATTGATAAGTAAGTGTATATTATAAAGCCATTAGTAAAGATAGAACTTAAGATATTTCCAACTTGCTGTTTTAGGTTAACTATTATTCATTTTCTAAGTGCTGAAAAGGGCAATAACTTGGTAAATATGAAAGCCAGAGTTATGTTACTTGCCCAAATCATGTACTTTGTATTGATTAGCAAGTGTGTAAACTAAGAAGCCATTGGTACAGGTAGAACTTAAGAAAAATCCAACTTGCTGTTCTAGGTTAACCTCGTACGGACAGACAGACAGACGGACATTCCAACATTTTGGGTTTAGGGGCTAATTTCTTTGTTATCTTAAGGGCTACTAGCCCATAAACCCTTTGATCACGGAATGAACCTATTGTTCTCTTTTTTTCTCTTTACTGTTATATAGCCCCTAAACCTAAAATGTTTGCTCGGACAGACGGACGGACAGTTCAATTACTATATGCCCTGGGGCATAAAAAGAGCTCCTTCTGATATTGCATTCCTAGTTCAATGCTGGTATTGTGAAATAAATACAATTACTGCTTCAGAATTTGTCAAGTCCATCGCTAATGCTGGACATTTCACAACTTTATTTCTTCATAGCATATCTTGGAAGACCGCCATAGTTTCATGCCAATTAGCATGCAGACCATGTTCTCGTGAGGGGTTTGACATGTTTGAGTTTTAGCTGGTCTACTCAGTACTGTACACATTTTAATTTTTTTTATTTGGCATAAAACAATGACATGGGTAATATTTATATCTTAAATATATGCTTGGTTAATATCAGTTACAGGGAATTTTAGAAAAAAATTAGCATAAATTCTCTATAACTCAAAAAATCTACAAAAATGTTGATTGAAACTCAAGTCATAAAAAATGTCATTATGAAAAGAAAGTGTCACTTTATTTATTTATTATTTAACAGTTTGGCATGTCTGTTAGCAAATACACACCAGAAATTATGTCAAGTACCAAAAATAACTACAGTAAATTCTCTCTATTAAGACCACTTACGGGACTGACTCAAAGTGGTCTTAATAGTGAACTGGTCTTAATAGTGAAAAAGTCACTTTAACAGCTGACAGAGTCCAACTTAACTTATTGTATACCTTGTATAGTTTTATGAACATGGTAAATATACTTAATTAAATGAGTAAAAAGAAACACATTTTTTTTTAAACAAAAAACATTTTTAATGCATGATAATAATTATGATACATCATTAATATGATGAAAATATTAATTTACGGCTTCCCCTTTAGATGAAAAATATTAGGTATTAATATAGTTATGACTCTCATTATGATTTATACATAAATTACATATCGAAACAAGAATTTGTAACAGAGTTACCAACGTCCCCCGCCTCAGGAAGTTTTATATGAAGCATAAAATAGTGCTATTTCAAAAGCTTGAGGTATGGATTTCAGGACTTTCAGTCCAAAATTATGATCAATGCTAGATCTGCAAATGCAACAATAAATTTATTAAAGAAATACTAGTAAAATGAAACACAGAATTTAAAATTCTATCATGTTAACCTTTGACCTCTAAGTGTGACCTTGACCTTGGAGGTAGGGGTGCAGGTGTTGTGCATGACATAACGTCTTATTAATATTACTATTCGTGCCGAGTATTTTCAAAATCCCTTGAACTATGAAGAAGTTATAGATCGGACACAAAATATACCCTATGACAGACTATGTCAATCTTTGACCTCTTAGTGTGACCTTGGAGGTAGGGACTCATGTTTTGCGCTTGACATATCAACTTATTATTGTGATTATTTGTGCAAAGTATTTTTAAAATCCCAGGTTATGGACTGGACACAAAATATACCCTATAACAGACTATGTAAATCTTTGACCTCTATGTGTGACCTTGACCTTGGAGGTAGGTACACATGTGTTACGCATGACATATCATCTTATCATTGTGACTATTTGTGACAAGTATTTTCAAAATCCCTTGATCTATGAAGAAGTTATAGACGGGACACAAAATAAATCATGTAACAGACTCTGTTAACCTTTGACCTCTAAGTGTGACCTTGACCTTGGAGGTAGGGGTACAGGTGTTGTACCTGACATATTGTCTTATTATTGTGACTATTTGTGCCTAGTTATTTCAAAACCTGAAGAAGTA